CACAAAGTACTGTATATCAATTTCGTCAATGGCCACGGCATCTGAATTTACGACGTACACCAAAAAACTTAGAAAACACCAATTTTTATTTTGGCCGAAGCAGTTGTCCAACCACAGAACAATACGTGATGAATCCCTATAATTAAAAAAAATGCGTAGAAGGTACTAATAATGTCCTCCTTGTTTCGACCAGTGATACCCTCATCCATAGATCCATAGTAATTTCATAAACTACACCTCAAGATTTGATTTCCACAAACTTTATTTGAAAAATATATATCACAACATATTTCGCTAACACAGTAGCTTTGTCAAGTGATTTGAATACTTCAAGTGGCTTCTTACACTAATATTTATATATTAAGGTAACCATAATTGAGACTACCTCCAAAAATTACCTAAACCTCTACCTAAGGTACCTCTCCAATTATATGATCACCTGAAGCATATTATCTCACATCTACATCAATAATAATTCTTTCTCGTTTTATTGAACTTGTTCGAGTGTCAAATGATCACAATCAAGGAACGATTTAGAGCAGATTTCACACTGAAATGGTTTTTCGCCAGTATGAATTTTTTCATGCAATTTCAAAACATTACCACAAGAGAAGTATTCAAAACAGATTTCACATTGAAAGGAGTTTTTGTTATGTTATGTTTTATTGACCTGCCGTTTAAAGTAATATTGGAATGTCCTGTCCATGTGTTAGGAAGAAAGTTTCCATTATTTAAATGATTTGACTTTACCTGTAAATGAGGTATTACTTGATAACAAAGGTGGAATGGAACGTTTTCTTTTATTTGAAGGTCATGTAGAATCCTACAATTTTATGTATAATGAACATTTGAAAAGTATAACAAAGTTTAAGAGCATTACACATTACAGGTATTCCATAAAAAAGTTGAAATTCATTCTCAAGATACTATGATTGTTTATGAAGGGAATGAGTAAAAAATTAATCCATAGTGTGATGGAAATGACAGATACTTGATGAAAATCCATTATAATGTATTTACAGTTTACAAAAGAATAACACTTGTATCAGTATACAATAGTTGTTCTTTTTCAACAATGTTCTATTTTACTGTTGCTCTTAGAAATTGAATGCTTTTAATACGTTATGAATTTTTTCATGCAATTTTAAATTATTATTTCGACTGAAATATTTAAAACAGAATTTACTCTAAAATGGTTTTTTGTCATGTATTTTCAGACACTCATTTGTACTAAACGAGTTTGAACAAATTATCTATTGAAATGATTTTTCTTCAGTGTGAATTTTTTCATGTCTTTTCAAATGACCTCGTTGACTGAATGATTTAGTGCAGATTTCACACTTAAATGGTTTTTCACCAGTATGAATTCGTTCATGTCCTTTCAAAACACCTCCTTGATTGAATGATTTAAAGCAGATTTTACACTGAAATGGTCTTTCACCTGTATGAATTCTTTCATGTATTTTCAAACTACTATTGTGACTGAATGATTTAGAACAGATTTCACATTGAAATGGTTTATCGCCAGTATGATTTTTTTCATGCAATTTCAAACTACCTTTCTCAGTAAATGATTTAGAGCAGATTTTGCATTGAAATGGTTTATCGCCAGTATGAATATTTTCATGCCTTTTCAAATGGCCTCTTTGAATGAATGATTTAGAGCAGATTTTACACTTAAATGGTTCATCACCTGTATGAATTTTTTCATGTATTTTCAAACTACCTTTCTCAGTGAACGATTTAGAGCAGACTTTACACTGAAATGGTCTTTCACCAGTATGAAATTTTTCATGGGATTTCAAATTACTATTGTAAATGAATGATTTAGAGCAGATTTCACATTGAAATGGTTTATCACCAGTATGAATTTTTTCATGTGTTTTCAAGTTACTATTGTAAATGAACGATTTAGAACAAATTTTACATTGAAATGGTTTATCGCCAGTATGAATTTTTTCATGTGTTTTCAAATTACTATTGCAAATGAATGATTTAGAACAAATTTTACATTGGAATGGTCTATCGCCAGTATGAAATCTTTCATGCACTTTCAAACTACTTTTCTCAGTGAATGATTTAGAGCAGATTTTGCATTGAAATGGTTTATCACCAGTATGAATATTTTCATGTCTTTTCAAATGACCTCTTTGAACAAATGATTTAGAGCAGATTTTACACTGAAATGGTTTTTCGCCAGTATGAATCTTTTCATGCGCTTTCAAATTACCTCTCTCAATGAAAGATTTAGAGCAAATTTCGTTTCCCTCATCAATTCTACTCTCTCTAATTGAATTGGAATAGTGTCCAGGACTAAGTATTTCCTTCATCTTATTAATATTTTCATTGATGACCTCTTTATTTCCAACTGTCTCTTCCTTGGTTTCAAAACGAAATATTCCGGGATCTGTAAAAAAATACTAGTTTCATTAAGAAAGAAAAGCAAATCACTTCACATCATCAACACTTTCTCATTTATGATGTCACGAAACATACATTTTTTAACGTATACACACTAAGTATTTTTTTTTAATTTTCTGTTGGGATGCCTTGGTCTTGGGAATCAAAGTTAATGAGATTTTTTACATTACTTGATTTTCCCTAGAACTGATCTTATAAAAAAAAGCTTTCCACAATTTTTTGTTACGAAATTGTATACATTATGCCTTATCTGGATTCATACACTATTCAACTTCTCTTTGGTGCAAGTTCACCCTTATCCAATATAACCGAAAATAAGAAAAGTGTGAGTTTCCAACTGCTGAAGATAATTGTGTCAAAACTTTTTAGTGTGTTTGTTGGTTTTGGTTTGCAGATTCCTATTTATTTATTAACTCAGCACTTTAGTACACTGGTTACATGTGGTGAAATGGAAACTGACAACACAAAATTTATATCAATATAACTGGTATTTTCTGTTAACAGAGTGGTTTCAAATTTTAATACATATCCTCACCTTTCATAACTTTAAACTCATTCTGCCACTGACAATTACAGCTGCATTTTGAACTGTCAGGGCTGACAAAATCCCTTGAACTAAGTTCAGTTCCTCCACATACCTCACAATATGAGCCTTCCTTTATTCCTTCCACACATTCAGATTTCAGATCATGATAAACAACATCAATATCTTCACTTTTGATTTTTTCTGGATTGAATTCTTTCCTTGATGTAACCACATGAAATGCATCACATTTTTCTTCAGAGTTGGGAGTGTCGTTTTCTTCCACAAAAGGGTCTACTTCCTGTTTAATTTTTGTCCCATATTCATATTCACCTTCACCAGTAGTAGTAGCAAGAGTAGCCATATCAAAAATATTCGTTTTTGTAGAATTATACTTGTGGTCATTTGTAATATATATAAATTATATAAAAATTATGCTGTGTAGAGATAGAGAGAAAATATATATCCATCTCACTTATTGTTCTTCTTCTTATTTTTCCAATAACGGCTTCAGCTGCCAGGGCTATCCAGCCAGGAGTTCCTGAATCACAATACTACTACAGGTGGAACCCATACTGAAGTGGGGCCGAGTTGAACCGATGCCACACCTGGATATACGCTAAAACAAAGTTCAACTGTAATTTGAAGTCAATTAACAAACAATATCCGATTACACTAGAGTATAAGCAATACTGTGAGGTGATGCACAACGGTTATGTGTATGGGCACTACAATCAGGTCATGATCGGCGAAGCACTGCATGTGCACAAGTATTGGGTCTATCTCTGTCACTACAGCTTTATATAGGATGCAATTATGAATTTGGATATGGTTTGTATGTTAAATGGTGATATATGTTCGAAAAAGATATCGGGGAAGGTAAGAAGCTAAATTGTTGAAGGAGGGATTATAAGAGAGGCATGAAGTGTTTGTATATTGTGAAAATTGTAAGAGGAGACAAAGAATGTATGTAGAAACGTCTGCATTTCCCCAACATTGGCAGCGGTTTGTGGAGATGCGCTTTACTGAGGGAATGAGTGCTCCTAATCCTGCACATATTGATGATTTCTTTACGAAAACAACTAGCCAGATCTTCGAATTATGGAGTTTTGTAAGGTTTTGGTACGGAGAAGAAGTAAAGTTTAGCTTTGAATTGTCTGTCCACACTATATTGATCGGTCCACCCTTTCCAGATATTATGTTTTGATGATGCTTAGAACTCTCTATAGTCTGCTTGAGGGTGATAAGAGAGTGGATGGTTTCTTCCAATATCGGATGAGGTATCGGCTGTATCGTTACCCTCGATGTTGGAATGACTAGGGGTCCATGCCAAATGTATGCTGTTTCACTTGTGATGGCTCTATACATTAGGTGTCTGGTACGTAATGGGAGATAATCGCTTTTTACAGATTCGGTTGACAAAAGAAATTTTGCCAGCACACTTTTTGAGTCGCTAAAGATGACTACGTGTTTGATATGATAACTAATTGCCATAACTTGAAATTTTGGGGTAATGGTGCAAAAATATTTTTCTATGGATCCATTTCATATACAAAACCCCAGCCTGTCTTTAAATCTACACATTTTTTCATGACTGATATGTGGGTCATCTTCAAAGATAACCTTTTGCTAGAATAGTTATTTTGTCTATAATTCCTGTGTATCTCAAATCAGAGGAGTGACATCTCAAAGGGATATTCACTTTGTTGTTCTGTTATTTCACCTACTTCACTTTTTTTTTTCATGTACTGTTCAATTGTAAAATCTGCCGAGAGCTATTACAATATCAAATATATTACCTGCACCAAAGTTAAGTGGTTTCAAATCACGAGTCATATCATCACCTCTCATAGAATGGCAATTGCATAATTGTTAAAGTATCAGTGCCACCACACATAACTCCATAAACATTTCATTCACTTCCTGAATCATGAATTTAAAAAAAACATCAATGTGTTATCTCGGGATACTTTTGTTTTACTCATGGATAGTTGGACGCCGACTAACTCTGGGAAATCCGAGAAATAAGGTTTTCTTTTCAATCAAACAGCGTGAACGCCATTAAAGAATTGTTTTTATTTAACCTGTTGATAGAGTCAACTGTAAAACAGTAAAACAAAATACAGGTTTTCATGAGTAATCTCCCCTCATTTCAAAATGATCTTGCACTATTTCATTCATAAAAACTAAAAATACATCAGAAATGAACCAGGTCAGTTTAGTAGGTTTTCAGTTTGTCCACAAACTTTGTATCGAACAAATTGTCAGCCTGGCAAAACATTAGAAGTAATACCCTTGCAATTTATGTGAAATTTTCAAAATTTGTCACACCCTTATTAATGAACGTAACAGATAATATAAGCTTTTATTTTTCAATATTTTTCAAACAGTACCTATGTATGTTTTCAAATGACCTCTTCAAATGAATGATTTAGACCAGATCTTACACTTGAATCTTTGTCACCAGTATGATTTTTTTCATGTGTTTTCAAAAAACCACTTTGACGGAAAGATTTAAAGCAGATTTTACACTGAAATGGTCTTTCACCAGTATGAATTTTTTTCATGTTTTCAAATGACCACATTAATGGAATAATTTAGACCAGATTTAACACTGAAATGGTCTTTCGCCAGTATGAATTTTTTCGTGTCTTTTCAAATTACCTATATGAAAGAATGATTTAGAGCAGATTTTACACTGAGATGGTTTTTCGCCAGTATGAACCTTTTCATGTGTTTTTAAATGACCTCTTTGAATGAACGATTTGTAGCATATTTTACACTTGAATGGTTTATCGCCCGTATGAATTTTTTCATGTGTTTTCAAAGTACCACCATGACGGAATGATTTAGAGCAGATTTTACACTGAAATGGTCGTTCGCCAGTATGAATTTTTTCATGTGTTATCAAATGACCACTTTGATGGAAGGATTTAGAGCAGATTTTACACTTGAATGGTTTATCGCCAGTATGAATTTTTTCATGTATTTTCAAATCACCTCCACGAATGAATGATTTAGAGCAGATTTTACACTTGAATGGTTTATGGCCGGTATGAATTTTTTCATGTAGTTTCAAATGACCACATAGAAGGAACGATTTAGAGCAGACTTTACACTGAAACAATTTTTCACCAGTATGAATTTTTTCATGTCTTTTCAAATCATTACAACGAATGAATGATTTAGAGCAAATTTTACACCTAAATGGTTTATCACCAGTATGAATTTTTTCATGTACTTTCAAATCACCTCCACGAATAAATAATTTAGAGCAGATTTTACACTTGAAACGTTTTTCACCGGTATGAATTTTTTCGTGCAGTTTCAAGCTACTTTTTGCAGCAAACGATTTAGAACAGCTTTTGCACTGAAATGGTCTTTTCCCAGTATGAATTTTTTCATGATATTTGAATAGATCACTTCTAGAGAATGATTTTGAACAGATTTTACAGTGAAATGGTTTTTCCCCAGTATGAATTTTTTCATGTCTTCTCAAATGACTACTCCGAAAGAATGATTTTGAGCAATTTGTACACTGAAATGTCTTTGCGCCAATATGCTTTTTTGAAATATTACTTTCAATAGATGATAGTGAGAGTTTCTCAGTATGCTTGTTTTCAACCAATTTCACATCGATTCCTTCATTGAAATTTCTTGGGCAACTTTCGTTTTCCTCATGGACTTTACTCTGTCTAACTGAACTCAAACAGTTTCCATAACTAAATTCATTATTTTCCCCCTTTTTATGTAGCATTTCATGTCCAACAGAATGAAAATGTTTGATAGCAAATAGTTTTTCACGTGACATTGATAACATATGTTTATTAGTAACTTCCTCTTCCTTCCTAACAACTGTTTCTTCCTGGGTTTCATGAAAAAAGGTTCCTGAATCTGTAAAAAATATTAGTTTCATGAATAAAAAAGAGCAAATTACTCCATATCCTTACACACTCAAATGTACGATTGAATATAAAACATGTGTTATTTTCAAATCAAAACATATGCAAGAAGTAAATCTGTGGTAAGTTTTGCACTAGATTCACAAGAATATATGGACTCACAGAATCAAATATCCTGGCGAGAACAACACGATAACGATAGTACAATTAATTGATCACTGATATTACAGATTTCTCATTCATGAAGCCATATTAATTTGCTCTAGTTCATTTCACTTCATTATTACCTTAAAATGGGACGCTTAAAATTGACATTAAATTTATATGACTTAGAGGGTGACATTTTCATACAGAAGGTTTTCAAATATCTTCATTGATTTTTTGCCTTGTCAAACAAGTTTAAAATTGCAGGTTAATATTCAGATATCGTTCAAGAAATGATCAGGACTTTGTGGTTTCAAGATGTGTAGTATTTTATGAAAGTTAAACTAGATGAATGTTTTAGATAGGAACCCATTGTTGTTCCATAATTAAACTTAGCATACAGCTAACAGAAAGTTTGCAAACATTCTTTCCTTGCAAATACTTTCTGTTGAGTTGGAATCAAGGAGTGACTTTGTTGTTCTACTATTTCACCTGTTTCACTGTTTTTCTTTCATATACTGTTTGATTGAATTGAAATGGCCGCTACTTGATGAAAATCCATACTAAAACTCATACAATAGTTTATTGTATGATTTCAAGCTTTAATCAATGCTTGAGAAAGCTATTGTATAGCCAAACACGTGTCAAGGTTTTTGTGAAACCCGTTACAGTGAAAATCATGCAATAAACTGCATTAATGAGTTTTTATATAATGCATGGTTTGTCTGACAATTCAATTGTAAAATCTGCAGAGAACTTTTACTATAACAACTATGTTACCTGAGCCAAATTCAAGTGGTTTCAAATCCCGAGCAGGGCAGTTACATGATTGTAAAATATCGTTGCTGAGAAAATATGTTGGACTAAGCAAGCCAGCTCCACACTCCTCACAATGTGGGCCTTCTTTTACTTCTTCCAGACATCTTTCAGATTTCAGATCATGATAAACAATATCAATAACATCACTTTTGATCTGTTCTGGCCCAAATTCATTCCTTGAAGTAATTCCTTGGAGTGAAATTTTTTTTTCAGAGTTCTGGGTATCATTCTCATCACCAAAATATTCCACTTCCTCTTTAATTGGTCTTACACATTCATCAGTCGCCATTATCCAATTTCAAAGGAAGATAAAGTTGGAATTGTTTATTGTTTACTTTTCTGTAACATGGACAAGATGGATTTATTATCAATGATATCTTCGAGTCTCCGATTGAGATTTACTTTGTAGTAATTACTTTCTGGCTAATTTTTCCCACTATTCTACCGAATTAAACCACAGCATAGGTAACAATCAGCAATGTCACTTCGCTTAGCGGGAGAAGTTCGCGCATATCCATCGCGTTGATGAGTCCGCCATTTTGGGAAGTGACATACTTTCTCTTCTGCTTTTGGCTTTGCTCTTGTTAGGGCGTTTATGTTACTTGTGTTCTGTGCGAATCGTGAATTTTAACTTTTAACATAATGGAAAAACTAATAGGTGGTGGACACGTTTGTGCTGTAAATAGTTGTAAAAATAACAGTTCAAAATCCAAAATAAGTTTTTTCATGTTTCCGAAGGACCACTTGATGAATAAATTACTGAAAATTCATAGTTGTGACATTTGTGTGAGTGAGTTATTTGTGTGTGTGAGTTATTCCAAAACAAATTGTGAATTGAATAATGAATCTCTGTACTATTATTTCGGAGCATTTCAAAAAGGGACTCTTGACACATTCGGTAACTTAAGGATGCCCAAAAATGGATTTGTTTATTTTATTTTCTCCTTGGAAGTAAACTTCCAAAGCAATTTTGAGAATCTTATTGTAGGAACAAATGTCATTGTAGGATTTGTATCATTGTTTGAACAATTCAATTATAACCATCCATGTGGAAATTTCCCAATATCTCACCTTTTGAAGTTACATAGTAGGGTAAAATTATTTTATACATTAAAATATATAAATAGGAATTTCAAATCTCAGAAAAATATTGCCAAAAAAAGAAGGAAATAAGAATGAAATAATAATTTGGAGACACGAATAAATGTTTTAAAGTGAACAATTTGTATTTCTAGTATTTTCCTTATATAATAATCACCAGCTACCCCGGAAACCTACAAGGATACGTAGTGGGTCAACTACATAATATTGACATTTCAGGAGGCGGAAAAAAATAAAAAGATTGAAGTAACAAAAGTAGGTTGATATTTGGATGAAACTTACCTATGTATAAATAAAAAAAATACATTTATGTTGAAAACGAGTTCATTCTAAAATGCAAGGAGAATGTCAATTCCTATAATAAAGAACAAGCAATTCAACTGAAAGATTAATTAGTAATATACAAAATCAATAAATTGATGGATGTAGCCGTTACTACGTGGTAGGAAATCATAATGAAAAGGGAAATGAAAATTTCTATGTTTTTTACCACATCTATTTGTAATTAACCTTACTGCAGTTTCGTATAAGTTTGAAAATGTCCGTATATACCTGTTGCCAACTTCATCTTAGAGTAAAATTATGCTACAGTTCTTTCTTATTCTTTATTATTCATCAGTAGTTATAAATAACACACGAGATGAAGCTCTTATATTTCAACAAATTTTTCTCCTATCGGTATCGTATGTGCAGTGGAAATTATTCGTGTTCATATGCTGACTAGGTATAATACCCTGAAACCAGTCATTTCGTTAGAAAGTTGAAATTGCAAAAAAAATCTGCACATGAAGAAAAAATCTGCACATCAAAATGACGCACTGTGTCAAAAGTCAATGAAAACAATAGACAAATTGAACGAGATGGGCGTTATTTTCCAAACTCACCATACTCTCTAGATCTAGCCCCCAGTGACTAATGGTTCTCTGCTGACTTTGAAAAGACGCTTCAAGGAAAACTATTTGGCTCGAATGAGAAATTTATCGCTGACAGTTGAGTCTATTCTGAGACCAAGGACAAATTATTCTTCTAGCATGTTATCGAAAAGTTGGGAAGGCATTGGAATGAATGTCTCGCACTTGATGATGTTTATATTGATGAATGGAAAATAATTTATTCTGAGGGGATACCCAAACTCATTGAATGATGTGTTCCATCAGCTGCAAAGTGTCAGTAGATCGTTCTACATTATTCAAGTACTGCCTGTCCAGAAATGGAAATGCCTGTATTCTGCATATGTTCTCCTTTAAAACCCATTCGCAAAAAACCTTTTACAATAACTCTGTCATGAAAAAAATTTATATTCGTAGATATGAAATGAATAACAGTTTAGCCACAGTATACTTATATACAGTAGTCCCACTTTAGCGTCGGTCCCTTTGATGTTGGTGTCCAGGAGTGACATTTCTCACGGCCACAATCTCAACCAAAGCGTCTAAACACTGCTCAACATAACAACTATTCATATAAACTGCTCATAAAAATACAGTCGATGAAAACCATGTTGGACACCTGAGAAAATTGTACAAATGATAATTTTGCATTTGTGTAATATTCAAGTAACCCAGATCATTTGGATAATGATGAACTATGTTTCAAGTAGATTTTAAAAATTCGACAGATGTTCATATTCGGATGTGACAAAATATATTTTCAACAAGGAAAAAGACAAGATGAAGAACGAGTTTTGTTGAATCCATGTGAAATTTCTTTGTAGTGATATTTAAGGCCAAATATAGCATATTCATTTATTGATTTGAGAATTCAAGATGGCGGACGAGTTTCGGTTTTTTGAAAACAAACTCAGCAAGAACTGTAAGGATTTCGCTATTCACTATTTCGCAGAAAAAAACACCCACTGTGAGCAAACGAATAAAAGTATATTCAAGAAAACTTAGAAAACGTGTAAAGTATAAAGGAAACGAAAAGGTTATGATTGCATTTTGCACTGTTGCCAATGTGACAATTATCGTAATCCGACAAAATGATCAGTTTTGAATAAAATACATGGAATATTTCTTATGATCGACGCCTTTTCCAGTAATATTCCTGCAACCAGACTTTGATGGAATAAGAGACCACCTCCAACATTTTTTCACGAGTTATAAAATAATATACCACAGTAAGTTGGGTGAAACCCATGAAATTCGACAACTTTGGAAGGGTTTCGTGCCTGTCTTGAACTGGTCGTTTGCGCAGATCTGAGACTGCAACTCCTGGGTGTGCGTGTAGAATATTCAAACCAAAAATCACCCGAAGTGGGATTACTGTATATAAGTATACTGTGACAGAACTATAGTAAGTTATAGTTCTGTGGTACTGATTCGTTTTCCGAGTTGTTGAATTTTTGTGTGATTTCAACAAGCCACTCCCATTTCATTTAGGAACTTAACAGATTTGCTGCCTGAAAATGTATGCTTACCCCAGAAGGCGACCACGATTTTTGTTAGAACAACTGTATAATTTTTTTGTTAATTATCTTTTTTAACTTGTACGAGTTATGTTGGTTTGTGCCAGAAATGTCATTTTTTGGCACTAGAGTCAAATTTCGAGGCTGATGACTGCATCCCGCGCGAGCCCGTGACTCGGAAAATCGAACAAGATACATAAAACACTATTTATTAAATTAATATTCAACAATAAAATTTTGTTTAGTAACGAAGAACTAATTCTCAGTAATAAACTTGATTTGACTTTTGACAAAAATTTTCGTTTTTGTTATTTCATGCTTCACAGCTATTAGTAGGTACGAGAGCCCACGACCAAAATTCTTGTCTCATAGCAATACAGCTATTATATTTTGAATAAAACTCGTGATACTTTCCAGTTGCATGCCTTTATTCATCTCTGTAGACTTAGGGCCGGTTTATCAATATGTAGTTAAATGCTCCTGTTAGCTACCTCGAAGCTAAGCTTAGCTGATAGTCAATGTTGCAGTTACTATTCAAATCGTTTATCATACCCTGACTGATGCTAATGTTTAATAACTGTTAGTTAACTAAGGTTGGCATAAGTGACTATTTCAGGGGCTTGTTTTTATTGGAGGATTGATTTTCAAAAATGACAACTGCTAACAAAAAGTTCATGAGTTATACATAATAACCTATATGAGTTGAGAGGGCATATGAAAAACGAAAATGAGCAATAAAAGAACATCCAATTTTACCGAAACAGACAGATCACTCCTGATAAAAATTGCCAATTCCTATAAATTTATCATTGAGAACAAAAAAAAACTGATGCCATCACATGGAAGAAGAAAGAAGAGGCCTGGAAAAGAGTTGAATTCAATTTTAATTCCTCTACATCAGGACCTGTAAGTCTCTACCTCATCTAATTCTTTGAAAGCATCATTACGTTCATTAACAATGTAAGGTCTTCTTTGAACTCCAATATATTCTCATCTTCGCCATTCAACAAATGGAAAACTTCTTTAATCAAACAATTATAGTAATTAACCCTTTTCTTGCAAAAAGTATTTCTCAAATTATCACAAAAAACATAAATAACCTAATTTCGCATGCGCGACCACATAACCACAGAATATCAGAACTGATATTCTGTGACATAACTGTCAGCTTAAATAAAAAAAACTATCACTTTCTAGCGACTGTTACGGTCACTGAGACTTCAGCTACCAGTTGATGGTAACATGATAACGAAAAACAGTTCGACTAGGAGCTAAGACAAAACCATTAGTCAAATGAGGTTAGCTGGCGATTGATAAACCGGCCCTTACAATATGACAGGTAGGTTCCGACAGTCACTGTAGCCAATCTAACAATATTGATATAGATAACTTGTGTCACAAAACACATCACAACAGCCAGAGCCGCATCAAATTAATAGATTTGATTATTTTGAACTCAAAAATACCAATTAGTAGGTACGAGAGCCAACGACCAAAATTATTGTCTCATAGCAATACAGCCACAGCAGCATCAAATTAGTAGATTTGATTATTTCGAATTCAAAAATACAAATTTCAGACATTTTTCGCGTAGCGTTTGATCGGACTAAATTTTCAAAAATGTCAAAAAATTGTACCGAACTGCATAGCAATCTGACTGTAGTTAAATAGTAGCTCTAAGATACCGAAAACAATTTTTTAGAAGTCAGTAGTGTAGAGCAAACCCAAAAAATCATTAATAAAAATTAAAAATGCGACAAATAAATTATGTTAGCAATCCGTCTGAAAAATGTTCTTTACGGGTAAATTAGGGTTAGTTGATGTGAAAAAAATTATTTTCAGAAGGAAATTTGGATGCATCAAATTTGTGGCCCTAGGATGGACCCCTGCGGGACACTATTCCGAGTACAAGAAAATCTGATTTAATTTAATATCACATTAGGAAATGTAAGTCCCAACTAATTAAATGTACCATGGAACATTAACAACCACCTTCAAACAAGTAATTTTATTCATGTATTTCCAGATACTTATTTCTATGAACAACTTTCAACAATTTTACATTGAAACGGTTTTTCACCAGTATGAAATTTTTCATGTCTTTCCAACTCACTACGACTGAATGATTTAGAGCAGATCTTACACTGAAATCATATTTCTTCAGTATGAATTTTTTCATGTCTTTTCAAACTACTTCCATGAATGAATGATTTGGAGCAGATTTTTCAATGAAATGGTTTATCGCCAGTATGAATTCTTTCATGTGATTTCAAATCTGCTCTACGAAGGAATGATTTAGAGCAGATCTTACACTTGAATGGTTTATCGCCAGTATGAATTTTTTCATGTCTTTTCAAATAACTTCCAAGATTGAATGATTTAGAGCAGATTTTACAATGAAATGGTTTATCGCCAGTATGAGTTCTTTCATGTGCTGTGAAATCACCTCTACGAATGAATGATTTAGAGCAGATTTTACACTGAAATGGTCTTTCGCCAGTATGAATTTTTTCATGTTCTCCTAAACTACTAGAATAAGAGAATGATTTAAGGCATATTTTACACTGAAATGACTTTCTGTTACTATCATGCAATCTTTCATGCATTTTCAAGCTACTCCTGTGAGAGAATGATTTAGAGCAATTTTTACATGAAAATGGTTTTTCGCCAGTATGGATCTTTTCATGACTTTTCAAATTACTCCTATAACAAAATGATTTGAAACAGATTTTACATTGAAAGGGTTTTTTGCCTGTATGAATTTTTTCATGATGTCTCAAATGCGAACTCTGAAAGAATGATTTAGAGCAGATTTTACATTTGAATGATTTATCGTCAGTATGAATTTTTTCATGTCTTTTCAAATAACGTCCAAGATTGAATGATTTAGAGCAGATTTTACAATGAAATGGTTTATCGTCAGTATGAATTTTTTCGTGTTCTCCTAAACTACTAGAATAAGAGAATAATTTAAGGCATATTTTACACTGAAATGACTTTTTGCTACTATGATGCAGTCTTTCATGCATTTTCAAATTACTCCTGTGAGAGAATAATTTAGAGCAATTTTTACATGAAAATGGTTTTTCGCCAGTATGAACCTTTTCATGACTTTTCAAATGACTACCACGAAGGAACGATTTGAAACAGGTTTTACATTTAAAGGGTTTATCGCCTGTATGAATTTTTTCATGATCCCTCAAATGCGAACGCTGAAAGAATGATTTAAAGCAGCTTTGACACCGAAAAGCCTTTGAGTCAAAATACTTTTTTGAAATACGACTTTTAACAGATGACACTGGGAGTTTCTCAGGATGCTTGTTCTCAACCAATTTCGCATATTTTTCTTCATTCAAATTTTTTGAGCAATTTTCGTTTTCCTCATGAAATCTACTCTCTCTAACTGAACTCAAATAGTTTTCAGAACTAAATTCATTAATCTTCTCTCCATGTTGAAAAGAATCAACATTCTTAATACAAAATAGTTTTCCATGTGGCGTTGATATGTTTTTAGTTCCTTCTTCCTTCTTAACGACTGTTTCTTCCTGGGTTTCATGAAAAAAGATTCCTGAATCTGTAAAAAATACTAGTTTCATTAATAAAGAAGAGCAAATTGTTGAGCATGTCATTACATACTCACATTTACAATTGAATATGAAACATTTATTATTTTCAAATCAAAACATGTGCAAATATAGCCATTAATTAATTTGTTTAGATTTTCTAGTTGAAATTGAACAACATTAACGATGTTCATTACATGGCAAACATTGAATAGTTCCTAAGAACTTGACTTTATTTTCACAAGTATTGATACTTTCAAAATGAGTTTTTCTCATTCTTTCTACCTCTTATGAAAGTATTTACAATGTACTATATCTGGATCCGTGTACAACTATTTAAATTTTCTATTGTTGTCATATAATTTTACTGGTACATCAAGTTTACCATCAGTGGTGCTGTGCTGAACCAGAAATGCAGAATTTACTCAATTATTCTTAAAGTACAAGTCTGAGTAGAAGAGAGCATGAACATCTCTCCGAATGAACACCCATTTGCTTTGTTTTTGAACTCTGTTATCAACTAGTTGCCTTACAGTGGAAGTTGCAGAGAGACAGGGATGGTCGATGGTTTGCAACTGACAAGGAGCAAAAATTACTAACACTTTCTTCTTTATTCATACTCGAAACTGTGTGCCTAGTGCATAAGAACAAATCATCTTAGGAATTCATCAAGACTTCCTATTCCATCATCAAATTTGATTAAAAACTCATTGATCTATAATGCAGTTAAAATATATAACTATCTACCTACAAATTTTAAACATATCGAATCACCTTATCAGTTCAGGAAGTTTGTAAAGCAAGTTCTCAAGATAACTTTCATAAAGATATGGATGGAATTATGATATAAAATTATTCCCTTTTCAATCATTGCTTACGTTAGATAGATAGATAGATAGATTTCATTTAAACTGATTTTAAAATACACAGAGTAAATAAACACCTAAAATTACATACAAGAGAAACATTAATAAAAACAGGTATATATGGCGCAATTTTTTTTAAGTGACTGTCTTATTTCCAATTCATCACAGTAAAAAAATTCAAGACTTTGATGACTTACGACTAGATCATTCACTTGCTTAAGGCAGCGATTGAGTGGAGACTCTGATCGGGTGTCTACATAGAAAACCCTATTGATTTCATGACTGATAATATGGGCCATCTCCAAAAATAATCGTCTTGCTAGAATATATTCAGTTTTTAATTTCTGTTTTGTTGAATTCAAAGGAGTGGCTGTTTGATTTGTTTGGTTGTTGAATGGACTAAATTAAGTATAATGTGACATTTTAATTGTAAAATCTGCAGAGAACTTCTACTATAACAAATATGTTACCTGAGTCAAAGTTAAGTGGTTTCAAATCCAGAGTCATATCAACACCTCTCAGAGCATGGCGGTTACATGATTGTAAAGCATCGGTACTGAAAAAATCTGTTGGACTAAGCAAGCCGCCTTCACACTCCTCACAATGTGATCCTCCTTTCACTTCTTCCAGACATCTTTCAGATTTCAGATCATGATAAACAATATCAATAACATCACTTTTGATCTGTTCTGGCCCAAATTCATTCCTTGAAGTAATTCCTTGGAGTGCATCAATTTTTTCTTCAGAGTTGTGGGTATCATTCTCATCAAAATATTCCACTTCCTGTTTAATTTGTCTTCCATGTTTATTGGTAGACATTATCAAGTTCCAAAAGATAAAAATGGAATAGTTATCTCTTCTGGACAAGGTGGATTTGTTTTCAACGATATCTCCGAGTGAGATTCAGTTTGTAGTAATTAGTGTCTGGAAAATTTTTCCCACTATTCTAAAGAATTAAACTGATATAAAATAAAACTAACATTAATCCCGTGGCTAAGATGGAATATAAAATTGAAACTTTAAACTTTGTTTAGTGCTTCCTTGACAGCTGGCAAGTTGTGTCATACTTGCTGAAAGTTATCCGCCATCTATCAGTGTGGCTAACCCACAGAACACAGAACTATAAGAATCCCGCGCGAGTCCGTGATGAGGAAAATTAAACAAGGTACATAAAACACTGTCTCTCTCTCTTCTTTATTGGCCGATGCTTCCTGTTCAGGCGCAATTGGGGAATTATAAAACACTGTTTATTATAATTTTATTTAACAATAAAATATTGTTAGCCAACGAAAAAGTGATTCTCAGTAAACACAGGCTTGATGAGACAATTGACATTTTTTGTCTTTTTTTTTTTACAAAGATAGAGTAACAAACGTGGCCTAAATACTTGTAGAAGCTTCAAATTTGATTCTTTGTTGACAGGTACATAAAGTCAACAGATAAATCGGTTCCTAGTCATGTCTGGCGTGATATTATTTCTCTTTGAAATAATTTCGTGAATGACGTCAAANTGTTTTAATTGTGGACCGTTGGGCGCCGATTAGCTCCGCGAATTTATGCGGTATATCAACACTATAAATTAGATTTTCTTTTTTCTTAAACAACGTTAACGCCATTTCGCTATTTTCATTCAACCTGTTGCTAGCGTGAACTCTTGAAAGGAACCTATTTCAGAACTTGTCTTATAACACACAAAGTATTCTAAAAATATTTTCAACATCGATGGTAATCAATAATTGCAAAAGTTATGAAACAATTTCAACTTTTGGTGTTACACAAGGTTCGGTTTCGGCACCAATTTTCTATCTGCTCTATGTCGATTGTGTTAGCATTGCCAAAGGGTGAAGTCATCAATGGTCCATCAAGTCTTCGTCCAATTTCTCTAATCTCTACAATGGCTAAATTGATAGAAAAATAAGTTAAAACAAGACTCATTTGCTTTCTTAATGAAAACAAAATAGGCGATTGCCAGTTTGGTTTCCAAAAGCACAAAAACACTTCCGATGCCATACTTTCATTTCTTTACAATATTTATTCCAACATAAACGACAAAGAAACAGTGGCTGCGGTCTTCTGTGATACAGCCAAAGCATTTGATTGCGAGAATCATGAAATTATTTTACGAAAATTCTGTAGATACGGTATAACTCTCGAGTGGTTTGAGTCATACTTAGCAGATCGCACCCAGATGGTCAAAACCACTTCATACTCAAATGAAGGTGAAATTACTTGCGGCCTCCCACAAGGTTCGGTACTGGGCCCACTCTTATTCTTAATTTACATTATTGACCCAGTTTGAATTCCAAGCTCTCCTCTGGATGTTATGCAATACGAGTAACTGCATTAGAGCTCGGATCTGCAGTAGCTATAATGGTTTATCATTCCCTTTTTGAATCCAATCTTCGTTATGCAATACGATGCATATGCAAAGCCAAGCCTTGGAACTCTTGTCGGCCTCTTTTAGCCTGTAACAGAATCCTAACTGTGCTCTGCTTATTTATATATGAAACAATCTGCCTTCTCTTTAAAAATAGGAACTTGTTTAACAACTTGGACGAGCCAATGTATCAAACCAAACAAAGATTCAGCTTCAAATTATCGCTGCCTTCTTCGAGCCTAGTTAAAGACTCCATTATTTACAACGGTCTCAAAATGTTTAATCACCTTCCTCACTTAGTGCATTTTCTTGTATGCCAATATTACGGAGTTTTATGTAAAGATTTTTGACTGAGGTCACAGAAGATCCCGCTAGGGCACTCGCCCCTGCTAAAATAATGTGGAATTGTTTACTCTTCTGTGACGTGGTCAAGGTGGAATTGTTTTCAATGATATCTCCGAATGAGATTCAGTTCGTACTGAATAGTGTCTGGATAATAATGATTCTAAAGAATTGATTTGATGAAAAGTAAAACCAACATTAAATCCGTGACTGAGATGGAATATCAAGTTGAACGTTTATTTGTTATTTGTTTTGTGTTTGGTTGACAGTTGGCAAGTTGACATACTCGATGAAAGTTATTCGCCATCTATCAGTGTTGCTAACATCATCTTAAAGTGGAACCAAAAACCGGAGAAAATTAAATTTCTTTTTTATTTATTTGTGAAATTATAAAACAACGATAGAAATAAAAACAACAATTGAATTTAATTGGCGCTCCGGAGCGACTTCTTTTATTCCAGTGGCGCCTTTGCTATTTTATTTTGTATGATTCAATGACAGTTGACAGGTAACACGAATTCATCAGATTCATCGATTCTGTTTACTACAATCTTTTTGAAATATTTTCGTGAATGACGTCAAATATTGAAGTAATTTCAAAACCACCTCAAAAAGTGAGGCAAATCTTTTTTAGGAAAGAATGGGTTATAAATAATAAAGGACAACTTTATAGCTACTTCAAAATATTTAATATAAAAGCGAATCATTACAGGATGCTCATAATACTACAAAAAACGTATTTTTGCACTACCAAATAAATGGACAGTTTTATGGAACAATATTACTTTCTTCAAGAAATGAGTCTTTCGATCCGCTTTTATGCCAATTCAAAAGGCTAAGTCATGTAGGTATCCAAAAAGCGGAGATTGGCTAAGGACTATTCTCAATGGTGGAGATTTTAAGTGCCTTATCAGTTGGCAATGAACAGATTCACTATTACTGAAAATATTCTCTAAAGGTAAACGAAAAATTAAATGCCTAAAAATTCATACATGTCTGAACACAATTTATTGCAAATAAGTACATCGTATCAATGAAAACAATATTAGTTCAAACCTGGGATTGAGTGTGGCCTTTGAGATGTGCGAGGTCTTTGACAAGGCATATTCAGGGCTATAATCAGGAATATAATCATCTGTAAAAGCAGAACATAATATGTTACATAATAATTTGGTACACAAATGTTACTACTTCATTAGACTAGTCAACTAAAATCAGAATATATACCTATTTATAAGACTATTCTACATACACAACCTACTTTCAACGCTAAAATTTGTTAAAAAAGGTCATATTCAGTCATTTAAAAATTCCTCCACAGAATAGAACATACCATGAATGAATGATTTAGAGCAGATTTTTCACTTGAATGGTTTAACGCAAGTATGAATTTTTTCATGTGTTTTCAAACTACTTCGTTGACTGAACGATTTAGAGCAGATTTTACACTGAAACGGTTTTTCACCAGTATGAATGTTTTCATGTGCTTTCAAATGACTTCCATGAATGAATGATTTAGAGCAGATACTACACCGAAATGGTCGTTTGCCATTATGAATTCTTTCATGTGTTATCAAATTACCTCCTTGAATGAATGATTTAGAGCAGATTTTACACTTGAATGGTTTATCGCCAGTATGAATTCTTTCATGTGCTTTTAAACTACCTCCTTGAATGAATGATTTAGAGCAGATTTTACACTGAAATGGTTTATCGCCAGAATGAATTCTTTCATGTATTTTCAAATCACTTCTACGAATGAACGATTTAGAGCAAATTTTACACTGAAATGGTCTTTCGCCAGTATGAATTTTTTCATGTTCTTGTAAACCACCAGAATAAGAAAATAATTTATGGCATATTTTACACTGAAATGGCTTTTCACCTGTATGAATCTTTTCATGGCTTTTCAAATGACTGCATAGACGGAATGATTTGAAACAGATTTTACATTGAAAGGGTTTTTCGCCTGTATGAATTTTTTCATGATCTCTCAAATGAGAACGCTGAAAGAACGATTTGAAGCAGCTTTGACACTGAAAAGGCTTAGAGTCAATATGCTTTTTTGAAATACGACTTTTAACAGATGACGCTGGGAGTTTCTCAGTATGCTTGTTCTCAACCATTTTTACATCTTTTCCTTCATTCAAATTTTTTGAGCAATTTTTGTTTTCCTCATGAAATCTACTCTCTCTAACTGAACTCAAATAGTTTCCAGAATTAAATTCATTAATATCCTCTTCGTGTTTAACATTCTTAATACCAAATGTGTTTCCATGCGGCGTTGATGACATATTTTTATCAGTTACCTCTTCTTCCTTCTTAACGACTGTTTCTTCCTGGGTTTCATGAAAAAGGATTCCTGAATCTGTAAAAAATACTAGTTTCATTAATAAAGAAGAGCAAATTACTCCACATCATTCCACAATCAAATTTATGATTGAATATAAAACATGTATTACATATTTTCAAATCAAAACATGCGCAAATATTAGCCACTAATTTGTTTAGATTTTCTAGTTGAAATTGAACAACATTAACGATGCTCATTACATGGCAAACATTGAATAGATTCCTAAGAACTTGACTTCATTTTCACAAGTATTGATACTTTTAAAATAAGTTTTTCTCATTCTTTCTACCCGTTATGAAATTTTTTGCAATATACTATATCTGGATGCGTGTACAACTATTTAAATTTTCTATTGTTGTCATGTAATTTTACTGGTACATCAAGTTTATCATCAGTGGTGCTGTGCTGAACAACGAATGCAGAATTTACTTAATTATTCTTAAAGGACAAGTCTGAGTAGACGTAATTTTCTAGATAATACATATTATCACGTTTTTATAATTTTATAGGAATATCCTGTATAGCTATAGGGTTCCAAATTGAGAAACAAATTTGTGCAACAACCTCTATGGAAAAGCAATCTATACAATACAGACCAGTTTCAAGGTATTACTTCTCTTCAGTGCAAGAAACCGATCTGTAGGTGATCTACTAAAATAATTTCAGCATGGCCTAGCTGCTGAATGAACGAAAACATCTACGAGAAACATCTGGTTTCTTCTGGGAAACACGTGTTGGGTTTTTGTAAAACTCACAATGAAGTGTCTTTTGCATACGTTAGTTATGGATTTTCATCAAGTATCGGCCAACCCCATCATATATCTGCGAGACTAACCTCTGTTAGGTATCTTCCATAAGTGTAAGTTATAGGTAATTCAAAATCCAGCGTGCTATTAGCCGGAGAAGTAGTTTTTTTCCGGCAGACATTTGCAAGAACCTACTGTGTAGATAGTTGAGAGAGATGAATGTTTTTAAATTTTATTACAAAATATTTATTGTCTTATACGGATACAGTCTTGAGACACGTTTTGATTTCTGGTAACAGCACAATTATTACGGAGTTGTAATTATGATTAATTGATATTATATACTCCTCATTTATGAAGCCATAATGATTTGTTGAAATATCAATTTGCCAGTGTAGTTCATTATATTTTGTGGGGCACTCAAAGTCTACATTATATTTTTATAACTCAGAGGGTGAGTTTTTCATACAGAAGTTTCTCAAATATCTTGTGTAGACGAACGAATTCAATATTGCACACGATTTGATCTTTGAAAACTTTATTTTCAAAAATATCACGATATGAGATGTTGAAATCAAAGGAGTGACTCATTTCAAAGTGATGTGCACTTTGTTGTATTGCTGTTTCCCTATTTTTTTTTCATATACTGTTTGGTTTGTCTGGTTGTTAATAGACTTAATTATATTGTGAAAATTTTTTGATTTTAAATCTACAGGGAACTTTTACTATAACAAATATGTTACCTGAGTCAAAGTTATGTGGTTTCAAATCCAGAGTCGTATCAACACCTCTCGTAGCATGGCAGTTACATGATTGTAAAGCATCAGTGCTGAAAAAATCTGTTGGACTAAGCAAGCCGCCTTCGCACTCCTCACAATGTGATCCTTCTTTTACTTCTTCCAGACATCTTTCAGATTTCAGATCATGATAAACAATATCAATAACATCACTTTTGATCTGTTCTGGCCCAAATTCATTCTTTGAGATAATTCCTGGGAGTGCATCAAATTTATCTTCAGAGTTGTGGGTATCATTCTCATCACCAAAATATTCCACTTCCTGTTTAATTGGTCTTCCACATTCATCAGTAGCCATTATTAGGTTTCAAAGAATAATGTGGAATTGTTTATTCTTCTGTGACGTAGACAAGGTGAATTTGTTCTCACTGATTTCTTCGAATCTCCTATTGAACTTTAGTTTGTTGTAATTAGTATCTGGATAATTGAATTTTCCCACTATTCTAAAGAATTAAACTGATGTAAAGTAACACTAACATTGAGACCTTAATATGAAATACAGTGTTGCCAACTGGATGAACCATAAAGTCGCTACACATGAACAAAAATTCCGCTACCACCGTATAGAAGTAAACAACAACTAACCCAACTTGTTTTTTCCGTTGTGTATCTGCCAAACATACCTACAAAGTCGTAGGTTGTATGAGAGGAAAGGAGCAACCTTGAGCATGTCATAATGCACCTCTCCGGGATATTAATTATTACTCCGACTCCCACCCCGGAGTATGTTTGTGGATTTAAATCCTGGCTCTGTTTGCAGGTGGTGCAGTGGAAATCCCACTGAATCAACTGCAGAGAGATTCCATTACCATCATTAGAATCATGAGCTCACTCATGATTCACAAATTGATTGAAACACCAATATAAGAACATATATGTGTTATCGGGTTACTATTGTTTCAATTATGGATCGTTGGGCGCTAACTAGCTCTGAGAATTCAAGTGGAATACCAACATGACACATTAGGTTGTTTTTAATCAAACAGCGTGAACGCCAATTGTTTTCCTTTAACCTGTTCCTACCGTCAACTCTAAAACTCATTGTTGATATGATTCGCCAGAATTTAATGATTTGTGTCAGATGTCAAATTCAACAATATGAACAAACTGTTCAATTTTCTCTAACCTCAAAATCGGATTTTTGTACACAATATTTTGCCAAAATATTACAAACGTAATACCAGTGTACCAGAAGTATTTTTTTTGTATTCAAAATATGGACCAACAAGTGACTATTCTCACAACTGAAGTAATGTAACGTCAAATTCAGTTTCAAAACCAACCCAACGGTATGGGATATATGAGTAAACACTGTGAGCAAGCGACTACACGTGACGGGAGCTGAGCGGGATGTTTGGCAATTTTCTTAGAACCTTCATACGCACCCCATTAATGATTCACGAATTAGATAAACACCAATATAAGAACACGTACATAATATGTGCTATCGAGTTACTATTGTTTCAATTATGGATCGTTGAGCGCCGATTGGCTCTGGGAATTCATGTGGAATATCAACACAATATATTAGGTTTTTGTTTTATCAAACAGCGTGAAAGCCATTTTCCAATTGTTTTCATTCAACCTATTGCTAGAATGAAATTTCGAAAGGAAGCCATTTATTATAATTAGGTTATTCCTTTATTTAGACAACAGGATACACATGTCCTACAATAATGTTATAGTTCTTCCAGTGAGATTAAACCGTTCATCTTTCAGGGTAGTTGTTTTCAATCAGAAACCTACCCCTAAAACTAAAAATCCTGTTCACGATGGTAATCAATAATAGTAAAAGTTGTGAAACAGTTTCAACTTTTAATGTACCACAAGGTTCGATTTTGGCACCAATTTTCCATTTGTTCTATGTTCATAGTAACCAAAATATGAATTTGATGAGTAATCACTTCTCATTTGAAAATGAACTTGCACTATTCTATTCATAAAAACTTAAAAAAACATGAGAAATTTACCAGGTCAGTATAGTAGGTCAGTTCTGTTATTCAGTTGATCAAGAAACTTTGTATTGAAAAAATGGATGATTAAAAGCCTGGCAAAACATTAGAAGTAATATCCTTTTAATTTATTGGACAGAATTTTCAAAAATTTGTCACACCCTTATTAAAGAACATAACAGATATATTATATGACTTATTCTTTTTCAACAATGTTTTATTTTACTGTCGCTGTTATAAATGAAATGATTTTTAATCATTATGAATTTTTTCATGCAATTTCAAATGATTTATTTTAATGAAAGATTCACAGCATATTTTACAGCGAAATATTTTTTTTGTCAGTATGCCTTTTTTCATGTATTTTCAGATACTCATTCTTACTGAACGACTTAGAACAAATTTTACATTGAAACGGTTATTCACTAGTATGAACTTTTTCATGTCTTTTCAAATCACTTTCACGAACGAATGATTTGGAGCAGATTTTACACTTGATAGGTTTATCGCCAGTATGAATTCTTTCATGTGCTTTCAAACTACCTCCTTGAATGAATGATTTAGAGCAGATTTTACACTGAAATGGTTTATCGCCAGAATGAATTCTTTCATGTATTTTCAAATCACTTCTACGAATGAATGATTTAGAGCAGATTTTACACAGAAATGGTCTTTCGCCAGTATGAATTTTTTCATGGCTTTTCAAATAACTTCCAAGATTGAATGATTTAGAGCAGATTTTACAATGAAATGTTTTATCGCCAGTATGAATTCTTTCATGTGCTGTTAGATCACCTCTACGAATGAATGATTTAGAGCAGATTTTACACTGAAATGATTTTTCACCAGTATGAACTTTGTCATGTACTTTCAATCTTTTTTTGTCAATGAACGTTTTATAGCAGACTTTACATTGAAAGGGTTTTTCGCCAGTATGAATTTTGTCATGCACTTTCAACCTTTTTTCGTCAATGAACGTTTTATAGCAGACTTTACATTGAAAGGGTTTTTCGCCAGTGTGAATTTTTTCGTGGATTTTCAAATTACCATTTTGAGAGAAAGATTTAGAGCAGATTTTACACTGATAGGGTTTTTCACCAGTATGAATTCTTTCATGCGATTTCAATGTACATTTCTCAATGAAGTTTTTGAAACAGACTTTACATTGAAAGGGTTTTTCGCCAGTATGACTTCTGTCATGCACTTCCAAATTTCTTTTAGCAGCGAACGTTTTATAGCAGATTTTACATTGAAATGGTTTTTCGCCAGTGTGAATTTTTTGATGGCTTTTCAAATTACCATTTTGAGAGAAAGATTTAGAGCAAATTTTACACTGAAAGGGTTTTTCACCAGTATGAATTCTTTCATGCATCTTCAATGTACATTTCTCAATGAAGAATTTGAAACAGACTTTACATTGAAAGGGTTTTTCGCCAGTATGAATTTTGTCATGCACTTTCAACCTTTTTTCGTCAATGAACGTTTTATAGCAGACTTTACATTGAAAGGGTTTTTCGCCAGTGTGAATTTTTTCGTGGCTTTTCAAATTACCATTTTGAGAGAAAGATTTAGAGCAGATTTTACACTGAAATGGAAATTTGCCAGTGTGAATTATTTCATGCTTTTTCAAACTATTATTTTGAATGAATGATTTAAAGCAGATTTTACACTGAAATGAGTCAATAGTCTTTTTTGAAATACTACTATCAATAGATGACACTGGAAATTTCTCAGTATACTTGTTTCCAACCAATTTCTCATTGTTTCCTTCATTCAAATTTTTTGAGCAATGTTCGTTTCTACTCTCTCTAACTGAACTCAAACAGTTTCCTGAACTAAATTCATCAATCTTCCCCGTTATATGTACCATTTCATGTTCAACAGAATGAACATTTTTGATAGCAAATAGTTTTTCATGTGGCGTTGATGATATATATTCACTGATAACCTCCTCTTCCTTCCCAATAACTGTTTCTTCATGGGTTTCATGGAAAAAGATTCTTGAATCTGTAAAAAATGCTGGTTCCATGAATAAAGAAGAGCAAATTACTCAACATCATTACACACTCATATTTTCGATTGAATATGATACATGTAGGTATTATTTTCGAATCAAAACATGTGCTAATATCAAATCCGAGATTTTTTAGATTTTCTGTTTGAAATTGAACAATATTTACGAAGTTTACTGCAGGACAAACATTGAACAGATTCCTAAGAACTTGACTTGATTTTCACTAGTATTGATACTATAAAAAAATAATTTTTTCACACTCTTAGAGCTGTTATGAAATTGTTTCCATTGTGCTTTATCTGGATTTATGTTGATGAATCAACATCTAACTATTTAAATTTTCTGTTATACAACTTTGCTGGTACATCAATTGCTCATTAGAAATGGAGGCACATCAATGGTCACTCCAGGCTTTAAAACATCCTGGTTCTAAATGATTATTCAATTTACTCATCAAAAATACTTGCTTGTCTGACGTTGAATCAGGAAACATGTTTACTTACAAATGGTATAACGCCATTCTGGGAAACTCCCACCAATACTTTATAAGTACATGCATGCTTATAATTGCTGTAAGTTTGGTTCTTCATGTTCATATCCTTTGGATTTGTAATTTTTACCTCTGTACAGTCAATTATAAGCCTGCAGTTGGTAAATGATGAGAAATAATTAGGGAGACTTGTTATAATTATACATCTCGATGGGAGTTTCCACATGAACTCACTGTTAAGTGTTTTATGTATAAGGAGAACCCAAGTGGAAAAAATATTTGTAATAGTTGTTGGGCTTCTCAACTTCATGAGAGTTATTAGTATTTTTATATATTTTTGTAGGCAGATAATCATGGACAAGGACACAATCATCAGGGACAAAGACACACTCATTGCACTTTTACCTGGAAAAATCATACTCCTAGAAAATAACCCATCTTTAAAGTGCACAGAAGCATCAACTAAACAACCTGATCACAAAAAAAAGCCCAAAGTAACTCAAATCTCCCTAATGATACAAAAAAAGACCAAAGTAAAAACAACCGAACGGAAGGCTCATTGTGCGAAATTTTCAATTATTGATAACTCAAAAACTAATTGCCATGAAAAATTTTGAATTTTCAATATTCTTTATAGGTACAATCAGCAAAAGAGAAATTATAAAAATCTCAAAGGTCATGGTGCAAAATTATTTTTCTATTGGTCCATTTCATATGGAAAGCCCTAGTCTGTCTTTGGATATACAATTTTTTCATGGCTGATAACTAGGGCCTTGTCCAAAAATAATCATTTTCGTAGAATACTTTTCCTGTCTATAATTTCTGTCAAATTGAAATTAAAGGAATGACTCATCTCAAAAGTTATGTGCACCGCTCATCTTTTTTTTTTTTCAAATTCTGTTTGGTTTGTCTGGTTGTTGAATAGACTGAATTAGATACATTGTAATCTGCAAAAAACATTAATTATAACAAATATGTTACCTGAGCCCAAGTTAAGTGGTTTCAAATCCAGAGTCATATCAACACCTCTCATTGCATGGCAGTTACATGATTGTAAAGTATCTGTGCTGAAAAAATCTGTTGGACTAAGCAAGCCGCCTCCACACTCATCACAATGTTGGTCTTCTTTCACTTCTTCCAGACAACTTTCAGATTTCAGATTATGATAAACAATATCAATAACATCACTTTTGATCTGTTCTGGCCCAAATTCATTTTTTGAAGTAATTCCTGGGAGTGTATTAAATTTTTCTTCAGAGTTGTGGGTATCATTCTCATCACCAAGATATTCCACTTCCTGTTTAATTGGTTTTCCACATTGATCAGTAGCCATTATCAAGTTTCAAAGGAAGATAAACATGGAATTGGTAATTCTTCTGGACAAGGTGAATTTGTTTTCACTGATACCTCCGACTAAGATTCAGTTTGTAGTAATAAGTGTTTTTAAATATTGTTTCCCCACTATTCTAAAGAATTAAATTGATGTAAAGTAAAACCAACATTAAGGCCGTGACCGAGATGGATAGAATATCAATATCAAGCACAGACCATGTACCCTAGACGGTTCACGGCAATGCTAAACAACAGAGACGGAAAAAAGCGCCATCTGAAGATTTGTATCAGTACCATTGTGACGGACGCGAGATATTCTAATGTTGTATATAGTTGGGATAAAAAAAACAGCTGAATTATTATAGATTTTTTATTCAGAACATTTCAACATTAAACATTTCGTGTGATTATATGTTCAGGTCGCTTAGAATTCTTTTTCTTTATTCTGTTCAAACGAATTTTATTGGCTTGTAATTTAATTACATTTGTACCTGTATACAGTTTCGACTTTCCCTGTATAATTTGATTTACACGCTTGCACTAATTATCTGTGATAGTTGTTATGGTGAATTTTATAACAAATTGAATTATATTATTTTTATGTTCCTTCGTTGCAAGATAAGAATTCACAGCTAACCTTGCCTCTTATTGTATTTTCAATTATAAGAATTGAATGTTTGGAGTATGGTTGTTTGCACATACACGTTGCATGTAGACGACGCCGAGCTCCCGATCCATGGAAGACGAGAGGAGAGCCGTGTCATCGGCGTATAAGGATATCTTCACACGCTCCGGCCTCGGAAGGTCAATGGTGTAAAGTGAATACAATGTCGCAGAGAATGTCAAGATGTGGAAAGTCATCTTTGTTTCAAGCAGCTTGGAGCCCAGCTCCCTTACCCTTGGAACTAACGCTTGTTACAAGGACGAGGAGCGGGTCAGTGTCAAGATGTCGATAGTCATCTTCATCTTAATCAGGTTGGAAACTTTTCCCTTACCCTTTCAACTGTCTCTCGTCAGGAGGACGAGTGGTTCATAGTGTCAAGATGTTCAGAAGGTCATCTTCATTTCTTTCAGGTTTGGAGTCCAGCTCCCCTATCCTTTCGGCTGATTGTTGGTCTCGAGAAGGACCAATGGGTTCATGACTGATTGATGACGGCACGAAGTCCTTAGACATCAGTGTCGCCATTCACGGGATAGTGTCAAGATGTGACGAGTCATCCTGATTTCGTCCAGGTTTGGAGACCAGCTCCCCTACCCTTTTGGCTGATTGTTGGCCTTGAGAGGGGCCAATGGTTACACAACTGATAGATGACGGCATGAAGTCCTTAGACATCAGTGCCGCCCTTCACGGGATACCCCTACCTGGCTGGGGTGGGATGGATGAAAAAGTTATTCATCCTTTAACGGGGGACATGAGGGCCTCATTCGACAGAGTGTCGGGGCCTTCTATATCGGGAGGGGTCGCCTACAGCATAATCTGTGGCTTCCCTAACTAACGGGTTTTCATGAGTTTCCGTTTTTTCGAAAACTCTCTCATTCCTCAACTGAATGGACTGCCGAATGGAAGGCAGCTGCAAATCTCTGCGGATGGCTTCATTACGCACGAACCAAGGAGCATTCACAATCATCCTAATTAACTTATTTTGCAACCTTTCCAAAATGGAAATGTTGGACGGAGCCGCTTGTCCCCAGACACCTGAAGCGTACGTGATGACAGGCTTGAACATCGTGTTGTAGATCGTAATTTTGTTCTTTAAACTCATTTTGGATTTTCTATTGATCAGAGGGTACAGACTGGCTATCCGACCCTCGATCTTAGATTTAACGTACATAATGTGCGGGTTCCAAGTGAGCCTACGGTCTATTAAAAGGCCGAGGTACTTTACCCGCGCTTGCCAGTCAATCTCCCTTCCAGAGATTCTCACTTTTCGTGTCAAGATGTGAGCGAACTAAAGCTTTATATAATAGGATCAAGGTAGAAGGTGCGGCCCCCCACCACGTCCGACATAGTGACCTCATTAGATTTATTCCCTTTTGTGCTTTTACACAAATCAAATTTATGTGTGGGCGCTATGATAGCTGATGATGGAAAATTATGCCCTACTACTACAGTTGACATATAAATTCATCAGATTATTCGATTCTGAGTCATATCAGTTAATAATCTCGAATGGATGTTACAGAAGAGTTGAGTATTATCTAGGAAAGAAGGGGGTTACAAATGACTTAATGCGCCTCAATGGAAGCAGAAGCCATCAATATAGAGAGAGAAGGGTTACAAATAATAAAGCACACCTTTATAATTTAAAAATTTTTAATTTAAAAACGAATCATTATAGGATGCTCCTAATATTAAGTGTAATTACGAAAAATTTACTTTTTGTGGTTTCGCATTGGCTAAACTGTGATAATTTCAAGTTTTATTTAGTGTTCAATATTGATCATTGATGAATTTATCATTTCCAGTTTTGACAGGCAATATGAGGTAAATTTCAAGGGCTGTGGACAGATTTTCAAACACAAATTGATTTATTAGTATGCAAGTAGTTAAAAATATCCAACGGTATGGGATATATGGGTATACACTGTGAGCAAGCGACTACACGTGACGGGAGCTGAGCGGGATGTTTGGCAATTTTTTTAGAACCTCCATACGCACCCCATTAATGATTCACGAATTAGAGAAACACAAATATAAGAACACGAACATAATATGTGCTATCAAGTTACTATTGTTTCAATTATGGATCGTTGAGCGCCGATTGGCTCTGGGAATTCATGTGGAATATCAACACAATACATTTGGTTTTTTTTTTTGAAATGGCGTGAACGCCATTTTCCAACTGTTTTCATTCCAGCTATTGCTAGAATGAAATTTCGGAAGGAAGCCATTTAAGAATCGGTGCAATAACTCACACAATTTCAAAAGTATTTTCGAAATCGATTGTAACGAATCACTAGTGGTCGGTTTCAGAAGGCATCCTCGCAATAGATCGGTCCTCAAGTGGACCGATGGCTATTGGTGGGAAAATATGAACTGTGCACATACCTGGAGTAATCTATTTGGGGAGGGGGCAAAAAGGGCACCTCTAAGGCAGATTTCTTTTCTTACAACTTTGAAATTGTTTTGTCTCAATAATTAGGTACTATTGGTGATCAACAACTAAATACGACGCATTGCCGCTATTTAGTTCGTGCTGGCCTTTTATTTAGGTAGGTAAAACTTACTTAGGTGATTTATTGTAATTAGGTTACCCTTTTATTTAGACAACAGAATAGGCACCTTCTACAATAATGTTATGATTCTTCCATTGAAATTAAACCGTTCATCCTTCACCGTAGTTGTTTTCAATCAGAAACCTACCCCTAAAACCAAAAATCCTGTTCACGATGGTAATCAATAATAGTAAAAGTTGTGAAACATTTTCAACTTTTGATGTACCACAAGGTTCGATTTTGGCACCAATTTTCCATTTGTTCTATGTTCATAGTAACCAAAATATGAATTTGATAAGTAATCACTTCTCATTTGAAAATGAACTTGCACTATTCTATTCATAAAAACTTAAAAAAACATGAGAAATGAACCAGGTCAGTATAGTAGGTCAGTTCTGTTATTCAGTTGATCAAGAAACTCTGTATTGAAAAAATGGTTGATTAAAAGCCTGGCAAAACATTAGAAGTAATAACCTTTTAATTTATTGGACGGAATTTTCGAAAATTTGTCACACCCTTATTAAAGAACATAACAGATATATTATATGACTTGTTCTTTTTCAACAATGTTTTATTTTACTGTCGCTGTTATAAATGAAATGGTTTTTAGTCATTATGAATTTTTTCATGCAATTTCAAATGATTTTTTTTAATGAAAGATTCAGAGCATATTTTACAGCGAAATATTTTTTTGTCAGTATGCTTTTTTTCATGTATTTTCAGATACTTATTCTTACTGAACGACTTGAAACACATTTTACATTGAAACGGTTTTTCACTAATATGAACTTTTTCATGTCTTTTCAAATCACTTTCACGAAGGAATGATTTGGAGCTGATTTTACACATGAATGGTTTATCGCCAGTATGAATTTTTTCATGTGCTTTCAAAGTACTACTATGACGGAATGATTTAGAGCAGATTTTACACTGAAATGATTCTTCACCAGTATGAACTTTCTCATGGGATTTCAAATGACAATTTCGAATGAAAGATTCAGAACAAATTTTACATTGAAACGGTTTTACACCAGTATGAACTTTTTCATGTCTTTTCAAATCACTTTCACGAACGAATGATTTGAAGCAGATTTTACACTTGAATGGTTTATCGCCAGTATGAATTTTTTCATGGGATTTCAAAGTACTGTTTTGAATGAATGATTTAGAGCAGATTTTACACTGAAATGGTCTTTCGCCAATATGAACTTTCTCATGGTATTTCAAATTACTATTATGAACGAAAGTTTTAGAGCAGATTTTACAGTGAAAAGGTTTTTCACCAGTATGAATTCTTTCGTGCAATTTCAATTTATATTTCTGAATGAAGAATTTGAAACAGACCTTACATTGAAAGGGTTTTTCGCCAGTATGAATTCTGTCATGCACTTTCAAACGTCTTTTCTCAGTGAACGTTTTATAGCAAACTTTACATTGAAATGGTTTTTCGCCAGTGTGTATTTTTGCGTGGCTTTTCAAATTACAATTTTGAGAGAAAGATTTAGAGCAGATTTTACACTGAAATGGAAGTTTGCCAGTATGAATTATTTCATGGTGTTTCAAATTACAATTTTGAGTGAATGATTTAGAGCAGATTTTACACTGAAATGGTCTTTCCCCAGTATGAACTTTCTCATGGGATTTCAAATGACCCTTTTGAATGAAAGATTTAGAGCAGATTTTACACTGAAAAGGTTTTTCACCAGTATGAATTTTTACATGAGTTTTCAAATCACTTTTTTGAATGAATGATTTTGAGCAGACTCCACACTGAAATGGTCTTTCGCCAGTATGAATTCTTACATGCCTCGTTAAATGACCAGAATGATGGCATAATTTAGAGCAGATTTTACAATAAAATGAGTCAATATTCTTTTTTGAAATACTACTTTCAATAGATGACACTGGAAGTTTCTCAGTATGCTTGTTTTCAACCAATTTCGCAGCGATTCCTTCACTTTTTGAGCAACTTTCGTTTTTCTCATGAATTCTACTCTCTCTAACTGAATTCAAACAGTTTCCAGAACTAAATTCATCAATCTTCCCCGTTATATGTACCATTTCATGTTCAACAGAATGAACATTTTTGATAGCAAATAGTTTTTCATGTGGCGTTGATGATATATATTCACTGATTACCTCCTCTTCCTTCCCAATAACTATTTCTTCATGGGTTTCATGCAAAAAGATTCCTGAATCTGTAAAAAATACTGGTTCCATGAATAAAGAAGAGCAAATTACTCAACATCATTACACACTCATATTTTCGATTGAATATGATACATGTATTATTTTCGAATCAAAACATGTGCAAATATCAAATTAGAGATTTTTTTAGATTTTCTGTTTGAAATTGAACAATATTAACGAAGTTTACTGCAGGACAAACATTGAACAGATTCCTAAGAACTTGACTTGATTTTCACTAGTACTGATACTATAAAAAAATATTTTTTTTACATTCTTTCTAGCTGTTATGAAATTGTTCCCATTGTGCTTTATCTAGATTCATGTTGATGAATTAACATCTAACTATTTAAATTTTCTGTTATATAACTTTGCTGGTATATCAAGTTTATCATCAGTGGCATTCGTGTCGAACCACGAATGCAGGGTTGGACTCAATTATTCTTCAAGGACAAGTCTTAGAAGTGAGAATGGACATTTCTCTGCAGTGGGACACAAGGTAGTCGATGTTGAAGCTTAGCTTGACAACTAACTACTTTTTGGAACCTTGTTCAACTTTGATACTCATGGACTGAATCTACAGTGTCTTCATTTCAAAACTTCCCACCCTTAGTACTTCATTTAGCAGGGCAGACGTAAGCAGATTCCTGAAGTCTTTCAAAGACTTCAGAAATCTGCTTATAACCTCAATGTTGAGCATATTTTGAGGGATTCTGTTATAGACTAAATTAGGTACATTGTAAAATCTACAAAAAAACATTTACTATAACAAATATGTTACCTGAGCCAAAGTTAAGTGGTTTAAAATCCTGAGTCATATCAACACCTCTCATAGCATGGCAGTTACATGATTGTAAAGTATCGGTGCTGAAAAAATCTGTTAGACTAAGCAAGCCGCGTCCACACTTCTCACAATGTGGGTCTTCTTTTACTTCTTCCAGACAACTTTCAGATTTCAGATTATGATAAACAATATCAATAACATCACTTTTGATATGTTCTGTCCCAAATTTATTCTTTGAGGTAATTCCTCGGAGTGTATTAAATTTTTCTTCAGAGTTGTGTGTATCATTCTCATCACCAAAATATTCCACTTCCTGTTTAATTGGTCTCCCACGTTTATGGGTAGTCATTATCAAGTTTCAGAAAAAGATAAACTTGAAATAGTTTACTCTTTTGTGACGGGGATAAGGTGAAATTGTTTTCAATGATATCTCCGACTGAGATTCAGTTTGTAATAATTAGTGTCTGGATAATTTTTCCTACTATTCTAAAGAATTAAACTGATGTAAAGTAAAACCAATATTATAACCATGACTGACATGGAATATCAAAGTTGAACGTTTGTTTTTGTTTCGTGTTTTTTTGACAGTTGACAAGTTGAGTCATATCAGCGCTGCTAACTAAATCTTAGTGTGAAACCATGGAAATGCTTCTAAGACTAAATATTCAAAAAATTGAAGTCCACCAGATACTCGTTAGGACAACAAGAGAATTGTTCCGAATTCTTGGGGTTCTTGTTGAATACTCTTCGTGAGCAAAACAATAGCAAAATCAATACTCCTGACCGCTCTGGACTGAATGATTCCGTACAACCCATCTCGTCTTGTGTTTGTAAATCTTTTGCTGGAAAAATCCTCACTTGTTTACTTTGTGGTAAATGTTCAAGAAGTATTGAAAACTTATGTGAATTTCTGGAACTTCATCTAGCTTTTCCTAATATGACTAATAACCAGTCCGTGCAAAACTTATTGTTAAATCATCTGAAAATGGAATTTTTAACAGGTGATAATCGACTGTATTGTCAAACATGCGCCAAACTAACTGACTGTTATAAGGAAACAAGTATAGCTGAGGCACCAGTCAATCTAATAATAACACTGATGCTTTTCAAACAAGACTCAACCTCTAACGGAAGCAAGAAACTCTTTGGAAGGTTCGAGATAGATGAACATTTCAATCCAGCAGACCACTATTATAATATTCATGCAGTCATTGTTCACTGTGGTTCTGGCGTTGAATTTGGCCATTATTACTCCTTGGTCAAAGACGAAACGGACTGGTTTAAGTTTGACGATAGTCGTGTCACGAAGTGTTCTGGCGATGTGTTGAATTTATTGGAGCCTCTGGAGACATCCTACATTTTGTTTTATAAGAGAGAGGATATTGTTAGATCAATATCTTCAGATGATGTGGTGCTGCAGGTTTTTCCGGGCTTTCCTGCAGCTGAAAAAGCAAATGCGCCACTGGAATCAATGAAGTCGCCCCGGAGCGACAAATAATTTTTATTGTTGTTTTTATTTTATTTTTATCGTTGTTTTAATAAAAATTTCCGAAAAATTGTGAAAACTATTTTGTATTATTCAGTGGTAGTAATATATGAGACACGAGCTGTTACTATTGAACAAATCTTATTTCTTCTCTCAGTATCGTATGTGCAGTAGAGCCGCAGTGAAATTATTCGAGTTTCAGACACACTACTGTTTGGTTGGTTGTTTTTTATGTTGATTAGTCAATGCATTTTCAGGATGAAATTGCAAAAAAAAAAAGTCTGCACAAGGAAAAAAACAAAATCATATTTCATCAGAGCAACGCACTGTGCCAAAAGGCAATGAATACATTAGACAAATTGAACGAGATGTGTTTTATTTTCCACATCCACCATTCTCTCTACATCTAGCTTCCAGTGACTATACTGGTTCTGAGCTTATTTCAAAAAGACACTTCAAAGTCGGTCCTGGTTTTTGGTTTGTCAATAAAGTTTGTATTGAACAAGTTGTGGATGAAAAGTATGGCAAAACTTTAGAAATAATATCCTTTTAATTTATTGGATGAAATTTCCAAAATCTGTCACACCTTTATTGAAGTTATATGGGTTATTCTTTTTCAACGATGTTCAATTTCACTCTTAGAAAAGAAATTATTTTTATCCATTATATTAGTGTGCAATTTTAAATTATTTTTCCCCATGAAATATTTTGAACAGAATTTACACTAAAATGGTTTTTTGTCGGTATTACAGCAGATTTACAGCAGAATATACGCTGAAACGGTTTTTTGCCAGTACGAATGTTTTCATGTCTATTCAAATGGCCATATTGACTGAATGATTTAGAGCAGATTTCACACTGAAATGGTTTTTCGCCAGTATGAATTTTTTCGTGCAGTTTCAAGCTACTTTTTGTAGTGAATGATTCAGAGCAGACTTCACACTGAATTTTTTTCGGCAGTATGAATAGTTTCATGCAATTTCAAGTGACACCTTTTGACGAATGATTTCAGGCAGATTTTACAGTAAAATGGTCTTCTACTAGTATGCATTTCTCCATGACTTGTCAAATGATCATTTTGAAAGAATGATTCAGAACACTGAAATAGATTTGAGTCAATATGCTTTTTTGAAATACTACTTTCAATAGATGACAGTGAGCGTTCCTCAGTATGATTGTTATTTTCAAGCAATTTTGCATCGCTTCTTTCGTTCACATTTTTTGAGCAACTTTTGTTTTATTCATGAACTCTATATTTTCTCCAAAAGTCGAATAGTTTTTAGAATTGAAATCAACAATATATGTGGCGTCGATGTCGATGCCGATGTTGGTCGGTAGCCAAGCCGTTCGGCGTGGATGCTTTGTTCACTCACTCGAATTGACTGCCGTGTTGGTCGGTGGTTCAAGCCCTAGTCTGAACGATCGATCTTCACTTGCTACCGTCCAACCCGTGTTAGGAATCACACGTTAAAAGGTAAGACTTCGTTAATCCTTAGCTCGCACAAGTTTCGACTTTTGAGGGTTGTTGTTCGTAGGGGTGCGACAGCTGGTTAACGGAAAACCAGATTTTAAACAGATTTTTTTTTAAACAGATGAGATATTTTAACCTCCTTTTCGGTCACAATGACTGTTTCTTCCTGGGTTTCAGGAAGAAAGGTTCATTTTGTAAAGAAATGCCCAGTCTGCCTTTGAAAGTAATGTGCACTTTGTTGGTCTGTTATTTCAATTATTCTGTGGCAGTCTTTCACTAATTCTGAAAGAATCTAGTAAAGACAGAATATTGAAAAAATTACGTAATTATAAACATTGACTCCGGCCATTAAAAAAAGGTGACGAGATTCACGTCCTGGCATTTACGTCACTCATTTATGTAGCGTCAGATACGTCACGCTATTTAACGTGATCATTTTGGGATTTGATTTATCACATGATGCTGTGACGCAGAGGCCAAGACGTTGTGCGATCCGCAAGTATAAATCGGAAAAAGTGTAAAAGTGAGATAACCCAGTCCATATATACATGTCTATGGTTGGAACGCCAAGGATCAGAAATAAGTTCTGTTGCATTTGGCTTCATGCGCCTAAAAGCAAGCAAAGGCAAAAAATATTGAGAGAGAGAGATAGACAAGTCCTGTTCCATGGTTATGTTTACAAAAATTCAAAGTTTTTTTTATTTGTAGAAATGAGTTTTTAAAATAGTTCCACAGTTATGAGTTGTACTAGTAATTTAAGCCAATCACCAGAATACCGCAGTTTTCGTAGTAGTGTACCGTTAAAAGTTATAATTGTGGACAAAGACAACACAAAGGTAAAAAAATGATTCTTTGTTTTTATGATTAAGAACCCGTCGAACAGTATTGTATTTCATATTTGTTTCGTAAATATCTTCCGATGTACCCATTGAATACTCCATAGAACTGTGTATTTTGATGGGTCCCAATTAAAACCTATTTGGAATCGAGGAAGCCCTTTCATTTTTCATTTTAGGAATGGAAACTCTACGATTGTGGCCCCAAAACAGTGCGTTGCCCTCTGTTTTGTCTGCCCCCTGCTTCGGGAACGGCTGATATTTTTTTCAAGCAAGCACTTGCTCTATCTGCGAAAGGTATAAGGGTGATATCTGCCGAACCTCCTGCTTATTGGAACATACGGGACTTCTGTGAGGGATTCAGGAAGTTGCTGGATCATTTAGGGTTGGACAGGATCCATATATTTGGTCCTTCTCTAGGTGAGTTACTGCTTTTAGCTATTTATCATAACCTAGTATGGTCCAAACACTTTGAAACATCATGAGAAAATAGGTTCTGGAGTTCGCTATTGAATTTGGCATCGTCTTCCTCTGAGCTATAAAAATTGTTTATATTTTTTCTCAAAGTTCAATCGCCTAAAAAACTTTCTTGACATTCAGCATTTGAAAACATTGTACTTTTGCACTTGTACAATCACAACTATCCTATGGTATAATAGGTTTGGAAGAGTGAATGATTGTTATTTTAGGAATCTAAATGTCATACAGAAATAGATACAGAAAATTATATTTAATAGAAAAAAACTCTTCCAACTGAGGCCTTATTTAAAGAAGCAAGTGTATGTGACATTTGACAACTTTTTTGTATGAGCATACTGAGTAATGTTAAAAAAGGAAACATCAAAATAGAACCAATCATTCACTCCTACAATACTCTTTAAATGCGCCACGATGTGACAAAACTATAGGACAAAGAAACGCAACGTATCTGGGACCACGCTTATACCAAATATTACCAGGAAGAAATAAAAAATATCAACAGTTCTTCTATGTACATACAAATAGAAACATTTTATTGTTAAAATGCCTAAACAATGTATGAAAACACAAAAATATATGAACAGCTTGTCAAATGTAGGAAGAGCTTTCTAAATTCCGTTATGGTCCAGCCCATTAGATGTGCGTTCATTAGAAGACGATGGGAGTGAGTGAGACATAATTATCAAGTCTTTTTCTAGTTTTGACAAGCTGTATTAAAAATATAATTGAATTTTTGCAAACTTTAATAGGGCCTCTCGATAAGAAAATCTTTAGTTGATGTCAGTACAGTTTGCTACGCATGTCAGGTAGTTAGGAAGATGATTATACATCTTGATACCATTATAAAATACATCATTTTTAGTTAAAGTAAAGTTACGTATGGGAAGACTCAAATTTAGGGTCTGACGGGTGGTATAGACAATTGAGGAAAGTTCTGTTTTATGTTTATGCATCCAACAAACTGTTTCTAAAATAAATAGAGTATACAGTGATAAAATTTTGTTTTGTATTGTGGAAAAACAGTTCTTGGCTTTTGCATCACGATTATGCACCGGCTCACTCATTACGTGTTCGTAATCATGCCACAGTCACCATATTGACCAGACTTGGCCCCCCTGCGACTTTTTCTTTTGAGGATTGTAGAAAACGTCAGCACAAGTGTATTATATCTCAGGGGGACTACTTTGAGATGGACAAAATAGAAATTTATGAATGAATAAATATTTTTTGAGAACATTGAAATTCATCTTATTTTGATCAGGCCTCCTATTTTCAATTTAGATTATAAGGAACCAACTAATGATTTATACAGACAAAAAGTATATCAGACATATCAATGAACTTTGCATCTTTGTTTGTCTGGCAAAAAACAAATTGAAACATTCAAATTTGATTTTCGAAATAATTGGTGATCAACTTTACTATTCAAAAAAGGCATTCAAAAAATCCAAGGGTTTTGAATATTAGATCAAATATTGGTAAAATGTCGATTTATTGTAATGGTTTCAAATTATATAATCATTTACCAAATTCTTTGAGGAATGTCAGCAAAATAAAAAAATATCTTCTATTATAAAACATCATATTGTTATATTTTTTTTGTATATTTCATACATGTTCATTTGAGCGAATTCGTTAATCGTTTTTTTTTCTATATTGCCCTTTTTTCCCCTAGTATAAACATTGTACGTGTCTTGGAAACGATTTATTTATCACAGTATCCTTATTCCTTGGAATACCTTACCAAGTAATCTGAAAACGATGCGATGGTCAAGAATATTTATAACATTTATTATTATTATTATTACGTAGAATATTTTCATTGTGAAGAACCTTGTAATTTGTTAAAAACATGCAACGAATGATCAGTTATTTTTAAAATGCATATGTAGATAAAAGCTTGGTATCTTTTATAAGTCATATTTCTCAGTTCTATTAACTGCTTTTGTAGATAAATACAATTAATTTTTGACGATAAAGATAATGATTACAGCATAGAAATAGTTATCAAGGAAAGAAAATATCGTGCTCATTATTGGAAAAATAAATTGAAGTCGATCCAAGCTAAGGGGTTGAAATGGTTTTTCAGAAGTTCCATTGGAACTAGAACTACCATCTAAAAGAGTATTTAGGTAATGAAAAGATCGATAAGTTTTATGTGCACCAGTTTTTCACACAACCTAAAACTTTTCCACAAAAATCTGAATTCTTTTAAATNAAACAACGCATTTTAAACTTATCATTTCAACCTTTTTCTTTAAAAAAATATTTAAATACTTAAAAATGAGGAATGAAATAATGCGCTCAACATTTAAAGGGATTCGTTTCTATTTCACCATTTGGCAACATCGGTTATAGCTAATAAAGGACAATGCATCTGTTACCTGTTTGAGACAAACAAAGATGGCATATTTCAGAGGCGTGCTGTTCTGTTTACTTATATTCCGAGTTCAGAGACATTCTGTGACATGACATTTTGTGCACTTAACCTATCTTCCTCTATATAAATAAATAACAAAACAACTGTTGTTTATGCGGCTTGTGGAGGTGGTATTGAACTATAATTTATATTTTGCCTTAATTGTTGATTTATAAAGATAATTTTCCTTTCTTAAAGTAGACTAGCTACGTATAAATTATTTGAACTCGATATAGGCGCTGTTGCCAATATGTGAATTAGAAACAAATCCCTTTAAAAATTAAAACCCAACATTTGAAACAACAATTTGAATACTTTTCTAAGTGAATTTGAAAAACTCATGAATCAAACTCAACTTTATTTTGTTCAAACTTGCTGTAACAACCCAAAATGAGGAACATTCCCCATTATAATTGCTGGGATCTTCTAACGACCTGGAAACAACACTGTCTGGTCTTGTACCTGTCATTAGATACATAACATCACCAACCGCCTCTCTGTATGGAAAAGTTTTCTCAACAGATGAAAGATACTGCCTTACACTGACGATGGCCAAGCAGCTCGAAACCGGTCTGCAAGTGTGTTACAATAATTAAAATAATTTCAGAGAAGAGTGCTGCATGGACACCTGTCGGATATAATCCAACGCCCTTCGTGGTATTAGCCAGGGGAATAGTTGTTTTCTGATAGGTGTCGGTCCATTAATCTACACTGTAGTTAATTTGAAATTGGTCTGAACAAATTGTTTTTTTAGATAATTTGATTTACAGCCAGCCTTCAAGTATATCTACTCAGTTTGTGAAAAAAATATTATTACTGTTGATCATGAATTCACAGCCCTGTAAGTGGGTGAATCCTGTTGCGTAATGAAGCATTCATTATTATTGTTATTATATTTTTGTGTAAATTAATAGAGCATACTCCTGAAACCATGAAAAACTACTGGGATGTAAAATTGTGGCAATAATTGATATGAAGTAAACAAGAAGTTATCTAAAACAACTCAAGCTCATAAGGTCAAACGTACACAAGTTGAAATGCAAAACATGCTTATCAATCATGTGTTGTGATTATAACCAACTCACTAAAGAGATATTGAGACGAACAAAAGAGGATGTTTTGCAGCGTAGTTTATAAATGTAACTATAAAAACTTGGCTAATCAAAATGTCAATAAAAACAGCAAATGAGATACACAAGATAATTGAGATTGTATTGGGTTGAAAATTATGAAAAAGTTAATGAAGAACTGCGGACTGTGTGTGAGAGATATCATCGAAATTTTATATTCGTTTGAAAGATAGATAGATAGACATTTACTTCATTGTCCAAGAAAATACAATCTTATTGATAAAGCTTGTTTAAAAATCTGGTATATACGAGTATAGCACTTCAAAGAATAAAAGAAAAGAAACAATTCAAAGGCACAAATACCCAGAAACACAATTTGAGCAGAACTTAGTTCACATATCTAATAGATAAAATATAACAATATAAAATAAAATTTACCAAATTGTAGACATTATTTGTTTATCATTCAGTATATATTTTTTATTCCATTTGCTTAGCTATGAATGAGTGTTGGAAATGCAATGAGGGCAGTGCAAAGGTGTAATTACAATAAGCCTGAGTTACTTCTAAACGTTATATTGAACATATCAATAATTTATATATATATTATGATGAACTTGTATCTGACAGTCATTCATATACATACAAAAATGTCAAAATAATAACTAAAAATAAATTATTGATGTACAATACAGGGTGTGTTGCATTTTCAATTACCAACAATGAGATATGTTTATAAAAAAGTTGTAGTTGTTGATTGTCAAAAAAGGTCAATAGACGTCAAAAAGTATAATTTGGTATTTTCTTGAAAAATAAAGTTTCTAAGGAAATTACATGGTAACAAAGGATCTAAAAATGAAGTAGACAACTACAGACCGTAAGCAAAAATAATTGATTATAGCTACTATATGAGATTGAGTAAATTCACTGAACATCACAAACTTATTCCTGATTGCCAGCATTGCTTTAGGCAGAAAAAAATCAACATCTGCGATAAATGAACTCTGTGATCACATATATATGAACCTAAATGAGAAGCAATTCCCAGTCTGCTTATATTTTGATCTTACCGGAGCTTTCGACACCATTAATCATGAATTACTTCTTCAAAAACATTACCGAATGGGGATTAGTGGGGTAGCCAATGACTGGGTTGCCTCATATCTAAAAAACAGGATGCAGGTAGTAGTTATTGATTCGATAAAATCAGAACCTGACCTTGTTACAATGGGGGTCCCACAAGGATCAACACTGGCCCCGCTATTTTTCATAATCTTTATGAGTGATATAGTACTTGCATCTTTGTTACCAAATAAAACTATAACATATGTAGATGATACAAGCCAAATAGTAGCAAAAAACAACCTTTTACCTCAAAAAATGAATAGCTTATGTTTTGTAATGAGATAGTTGCGGGGAACTGTTTCATTGCAGGTACTCAAACTGACGTATTTTGGACTCATACAGTCTGTAATGTCTTATGGGCTGACCTTTTGGGGAAATCCCGCCCATATGACAAAAAAGGATAATAAGATGTATGGCAGGCACTATCAACATTGCCTTCACTGTATGTCTTCATCATAACAATGATTATCAAGAAATATGAATCAAGCTACATTAAAATCAACATGATACATTAACATTACACTTGGAATGGTAATGAATTGCGATTACCCTACTCTCGACTGGCTCTTGGTCAGGGATCCTCAAGTTATCAGGGTATCATCTGCTATAATAGAGCACTTCAGCTATTTGGAAACATATGTAGTTTCACTGAATTCCAAAGTGCTTTACTTGACTACCTTACAAAAGATGCATTTTATTCTACTGAAGAATTTGTACAACTCTAGGTATTATTGTATAATTACTTTACAGTTTTAACAAATTTAAGCTAATCACCGTTCTTGCATCTTATTCATATGTCTACTTAACTGCTAACATGGAATACCATACCATGGAACACCATAAATTATGGAATACTGATATGGGGTGCTTCCTCACATGCAAGTGAAGTATTCATTATCCAAAAAAAGATGAGAGATTTAGAAAAAGTTGATTCCAGAACCCATGCTAAACCAATCTTCATAAAATGGGTCATACTTACATTACCTTCCATGTATATTCTAGAAGCAGTTTTGTTTGTACATAAAAATAAATATAATAGTGGCTCCAGCATTCACAATTATGATACAAAACACAAAGTTATCATCAGGCTACCGAAGATGCGTTATCAAAATACAGTCAAACAAACGGAGTTTCTTCCCATAAAAATATATAACACTTTGCCTAGTGAGTGGAAAGACCTTCATATCAAAGAATAAAAATTTCACTTGTCACCCAAGGCTTCTATGAGATTGATGAGGTATTCAATTGTCGGTGTACCTAATATATGTACCTATATGTGTGTATATATGTGTATTTATAGTGTGAGTCACAACTATTGTGAGATTTTTTTATGTACTCTATGTATATTTTTTATATTTTCAGTATGACGTACCTAAACAAACTTTGTTATTGCAGATATTTTCTAATGTAACAGAAATTGTAATTTGAGCTCAATAAAATTTCTTTCTTTCTTAACATGTATATAGACATTGTAATTATAGATAAGCGCAGTCGCTTTATGTTCTATTTTGACTAGTCTGATAAAATTTTATATCTGTATGTGCTACATGTATGAAATTTTTAATGATGAATACATTTCTATTCTACTCACACTAGCAATGTATATTATTTTATAGTGTACAGTTATACCTGACTAAGTAGCGATAGCTAAAATGTGTAATTTTGTTTTTTCAATTATTTTAACCAAGCTTTTTCAATGAGATATGACTTCTCAGACAATAAAGCATATTTTGGCTTTGACTGATTACAAGTTCTGAAATGTCATATTGTAATCAGGTATCACGATTGAATGAAGAATTACTCGCAAACATGTGATTGAAGAAGGATTAAAGAGATTCCAAAGGCTCTCCTGAAGTAAAGAGAGATTTCTTTAACTGATCAGCCGTGATCAGACTCCCTCTCTTCTATTGTCTAATGATGCGGTTTAGTGATTACAAGCTATAGCCTAAAAAGCTCTATCAGAATAGTCATACAACGTGATAGACTTATCCACATATTCATTGTCAGAATTTCCTTTCAGCTGGAAAGTATCCCACAGACTGATCTTGCAAGCAGACTCACACTAAACTGCCACAGAGGGTACGTTCAAGCTCACAAACTTGTCGCTCTTCCAGTCACCATAATAGACGTTTTTGACGAATGCGCTCTCTCTGGAAATGTGCGGGAGGAGCTTTGCAAGTGTTACCCCAATGCCAAACTTGCCCACCTCAAATCGGGAGGGAATTTTCCTTATCTCAGTCGATACGGAGAGGTCAACTTACATTTGCAGGTACGAACAATGATTTTACCGATTAGTGGCTGTATACAGTTTGGTAAATAGATCTTAACGTATGCGTCATCAATCCGTGCATCCAAAATAAGTCGACAAAGTAATGGAAATTTCAAATAATTTCGGATTTTGAGTCAGCTAGGAGTCGCACGTTTGAAAGTAAGACCTCTTTAATCCTTGGCTCGCACACATTTCGGCTTTTGAGTGGTGTCGTTCGGGAAGGCGGCAGCTAGTTATCGGAAAACGGATTTTGAACAGAATTTTTTTGAAACCAGAACAAAAAGGTGGTCACTCCAAGACTGCAGGTCTCGGTCATCTCCTAAAGATGCTAACTTGGTTAGCAAAACGTGTGTCGAGAGACAGTATCTTTGTTCTGGTGGGGGAAGTTTTTTCACTGATATAATGATAAGATAATAATAATAATATTCATTCAAACCCTTTGTAGAACCTAATTTGATTATTTGAATTTTAATCGTCCAATGGTATAACCCATTCTGTATGTAAGAAAATCTCATCTTACAGGAGAAAATTGTTGAGAAAAAAACATCAAATTGAGAAAAAGATATGATTATTGAAATTCCCTTTTAAGATTTGTTTAAATTAGGACAATCGAATTTGAGTATATAGATGTATGCCCTGTTAAATTCAATTATTTGCAAGTAAAACTAGTTAGTGATTTGTTGACATATACTGCAAATTGGTCCCTAAGGAGGTAGGCTTTCAACCTTGGCTTGAGAACCGATATACTACTGAAATCTTTTATCGAGGTGTCCAATTTGTTGAATATTTTAGGTCCAAAGTACAGGCGACTTTTTTAATGTTGAGCAGTTCAATGGGGAACTACTGAAAGGTCGTGTGATCTAGTGGAATAGCCATGATTTTTCCTGTTTAATATAAACTTAGCGATATCATTGAAGACTTGTTCTCCGTGTTCTGTCGTTTGATCTTCACAAGGATTATTTCCACAACGTTTCGGCCAAGTCTCATTTGCCATCTTCTGGTGATTCTGGAGTTTAAAACTAGTCTAGTTCTAAACTACAGACATACTGTGTTAAATTATCCCTGATCAATCAAAATAGGTAACTATCGGATTATTTCATTAGGAGATAAGATTTGTTTATGTTGCCATTGAAATTACGTTTTACTAAAGTCAAATTTTTTCTACAAAAATTGTTTCTTCTCATATCAACACTCTGCAGTATAGTTTATGCAACAATTACAAATGAAAAGTGCCATCAAACAGATTTAGCTATCTCTTCGATGTACTCAATGCAAGCTATGATCCAAGCAAAAGTTCTATTCGTCTTTCACTATATGAAAAAATTCTTTTATCACACAAGGTATTGATGACGCATGTATAACGATCTGTTTTCCTAAGTGAGAGGTAATTCTTTGTTTTGTTTCTGAATAATTATTTTTTATAGATTCACCTTCGGCAATTCGATGACTCTCCATTTGCTGCATCTGAGAGACCTTTAATCAATAGGTCCTAATTCCTGGCGCAAGTGCCGCTAAATTGTGATAGCTTCTATATCCTTGAACTCTATAGTAGATTTTATACTATGTTAAATGTAAGTGACAAATACTAATTATTGTAAGTTGTTTTTTCACATATCCCATCAATCCTTAACCTTGACCATTTATACTATTTTAAAAGTAAGTGACAAATACAAGTATTGTTAGTTGTTTTTTCCATATATATCATCAATCCTTATCCTTGACCATTTCACCACTGAAGAATTATTCATTAAAATGGGTTTAAAAAATCTACAACTTTTCTCAACATAATTTTATTGATGTTTCATGAGCATTTTCCTTTTTGTTTGCTATTCTCGATCCGAACTGCAGAGCTCTCTTCCTCAGTAGAGCCGCTTCTGTTAAACCAATGTGATGAGCTAAACTTCTGAGTAGTATTTTCTCTCCAAAGCCTTGAGCAACCTTATCGGAAGGGTAAGACCTGCAAAATACGTTGGATAAGACATTATCTGTTGAGTAATTATTTTATAGTAGATTTGTCGATTGCCAAAATATTTATTATTATTGTACAACACAGAAAAGCTACTCATAAGTTTGTGAGTTATCACACTTTTCTTGTTTTCAAACGATGGATCAAAAACAATTTCGCGTTTTAATTTCACACTGCTTCTTGATGGGAAAAAGTACCGTTAAAGCAAAGCACTGGCTTGAAAAATGTTATAAGGACTCCACTCCGTCAGAAACAGCAATTAAATGTTAGTTTGCTGACTTCAAACGTGGTCATAGAGACACTGATGATGCAAACATAGTGGAAGTCTAAATGAGGCCAGAAAACATTAAAAAAAAACTACAAAATAGTTTTGAATGATCGAAAAGTGAAGTTGCATTGTAAAGATATCAAAATAACGTGTTAGCTTTATATTGCATAAGCATTTGACTTATGAGAAAGCTCTGTTAAAATTGGGTGCCGCGTGAACTCACTGTTGACCAAAAACAAGAACTTCTTGATGATTCTGAGCAGTGCTTGGCCATGTTTAAACATAACAAACCGGAATTGTATCGCCAACAGCATATGCAGGAATAACGTCAGTGAAGAATCTCGCTCTAACTCCAGTCGGATATAATCCAACGCTCTTCATGGTATTAGCCAGGGGAGTAGTTGTTTTATGATAGGTGTCAGTCCAATAACCTACAGTGTAGGGACACAGTATACTTATGCTTTGGGTGATTGTTGATTTGAATTTTCTACACGCAGACCCAGGAGTTGCGGAAATGACGAGTTCAAGGCAGGCACGCAACCCTTCCATAGTTGTCGAATTTCATTGGTTTCACCCAACCTACTGAAAAATTTGTTTGTTTTCTGAATAAAGTGTATTCAAAGCCTGAGTTGATTTCTTATTTAAGGAAGGTAGAAATAAACTATCGAAAGCTCGACGAAAATACGGAGTCTTCTTTGACCTAGTACCAAGAATTTTGACTGCAATCCCACTAAAGCTTTTCCAGATACACTATAGGCTATATAGTTTTATTTTCTTCCACTGTACTTATCAGTCAGGTCAGGAGGAAAAACTTTCTTGAAATTATTTAGGGACTGTCGCAAACATTCATTTTGGAAATGTCTATACCTTTGTATACTACTTCTCGGGCAACTTTCCCAACAGATGTTGAATTATAACTCGAACATAATTGCAAAGATCCTTTCTTTGAAGGAACAACTCTGCAAGAGCTCTCTAGGAGGAATTCCGAGTCCCTGTGATAGCATGGTCTGCACTGATGAGGAACACTTTAAAAAGGTCCGCAGTTGGTTCCTTGTTCGAATCAGGCGAAGTCCCACTATTTGTCCTAGAGAGCTCTTGCAAAGTTGTTTTTCCAAAGTGAGAATCTTTACACTTATGTCTAAGGTGACTTGGATTCCGAAATGTCAACAGTCGTAAGGTATTTTTCATAGTCAAATTTACATTATATAAGAAGTTGTTGACTAATAGGACATGTTTCATTTAGAATAACTATTTTTAATCAACGCAGCAACTTTTCGGGGTTGATTAGACATCTACACTTGTATAGATTCCAATATCAATTGTACTTGTTTCAATATATGTCTAGTTATTAGCTAAAGAAGTAGTTGTTTTCTGTCGGAAAACATATATTAGGCATAGTCAAAATGCATTTAGGCTTGTCAGTGATTTTATTGTCAATTTTTACTTGGGTAAAAGCTGAAAACAGCAAAACAATCTATTAATTATCATACGGTGTAAATATTTTCAACATCCGACTGCGAAAACTCTCAGATACATTTATAGTTAGTACATACATACAAAAAAAATTATTTTTGTATGATTGAACACTACACAATTACTTTTTTACTTCTTCAAGTCCTAAATAGTACTACATAATTCAAAAAGGATTCTTAAATGAAATAATTAAATAAATAATTCTTGAATTCTACAGATTCTTAAATGAAATATATTTTGTCACATCCGAATATGAATATCTGTCGAATTTTTAAAATCTACTCGAAACATAGTTCATCATTGTCCAAATGATCTGGGTTACTTGAAAATTACACAAATGCAAAATTATCATTTGTACAATTTTCGACTGTATTTTTTTGAGCAGTTTATATGAATAGTTGTTATGTTGAACAGTGTTTAGACGCTTTCGTTGAGATTGTAGTCGGGAGAAATGTCATTAGTATCAAATACATCAGCATTATAAAAACTGAAACTTCTGGACACCAACATCAAAGGGACCGACGCTGAAGTGGGACTACTGTATATAAGTATACTGTGGTAGGGAGTTGTGACTGGCCTGAACGAATTGTTCCTTTAAATAATTTAATTTACAGCTACTATGCTCACTCTTTTTGTGAATTTTTGAACTAGTTTTACCTCTCCCAGCACTGAAGACTCAGAACGAATTCCACCAAGCTCTCATCCAAATAAGGCATCCTCAGTTGTCGTCCATGATCCGACACTACTCTGTCATCTCTCGCTAGATTTCTGTAGGGCAGACTCTGCCAGTCTTCTTTCAGGATCTCGTGTAGACCTAGCCACAACTGCTTCTTGAACGCCGCTCGGTGTTTCGTGTAACCTCCGAAGAGCTCGTCTGCTCCCATGCCTACTAACAAAACCTAGAATGGCACACTCAGAGAAATAACATCTAGGTTCAAAGGTAATGCAAAAAAGCTTTATTGAAAGCCAGCTTTTGATCATGTGGACTGCGAAATGATGCTAACAAAAGTTTTGAAATATGATTTGAGAGGAACACCTTTAGAACTACTCCAGTCTCAAAGGACAGGAAGTATATAGCGATAGATATTATTTAGGGTGTTCAGCAAGGATCAATTTGTGGGTCATTTCTCTTAGTTTTCGCATACAATCCGAAAACTTTTTTAAAAAAGTCTGTGCAGTCCATAAGAAATGTTATATGTTCCAATTGAAATAAAATATTGCCTGAAGTTTCATGTTTAGTTTGCATAGCTAACAAGAAATTAAGTGAATAAAGTAATATCCTCTACATTTGTGTTTTTGCAACTCAATCAGAAAAAAAAAATTATTAATGAATGCTCTCACAGCTTCGCTTTGTTAAAGAGAAAATTAAGGCAACGAGAGGCGTTCTCAGTTAGCGGTCAACATAAAAATAACAGCTATTTTGAAAGAAATTGTGTATGAGTACAATTATTAGCTCAATATTACTAAAACGAGTATACTGTAAGATATCGCAATTTTTTTCAGAATCACAAATTCCTTACAAATGTATGTCATTTTTACATCGACCACTGATACCAAACGCCAATCCAAAACACCTTGAAAAAACATATCATAAAAGCAGATTAGGCTCCTTCAATACAAAAGCATCGCTGACTATGGTTAGACAGCCCAACCAACCAAGGTAGTAAATAAAAAAAGAAGAAGATTCACATTAACCTTTTTTTTAGGTTGAATGTAGAGCTGTCATGACAAAGGCAGAGCCATAAGAAGAAGAATTAGAAGAAATATATATTTTTGGGAACATGACCTAAATAAGAATAAGAAATATATATTTTCCTGATTAAGAGAACTGAATGAACCAATAAACGAAAACTATTTGAAATTACCCTGCAGGGAGACTTTTCGCCACCCGTCATTCCTCTACCAGCAAACCACAAGGCGCACCCAAGACTGTCATCAAGAACGCTCTTCAGCGGATGTATCAAATCTGCTATATGAAACTGCCTTGCTTCATCCAGTTCCTTTCGAGGTATGTTTATTTCGAAAAATCTCCATTCCCTGAGAGGGCACAACCTCCTAAGCTCTTCGAGCGTTTGTAGACCAGTTTGTCTGTCAGGCGTTTGGTAGTTTTTGGTTTCGTCAAAGGCTACGTTGAACAGGTCTATCGGGCGGGATTTGTCAATGAATTGGTCTGCAAGAAGGGCTAAAATGGAGCAGTCTACACCTCCTGAGAATAAAACTCCTACCAGCGGGTGTTGGCAGATGAGTTTATCCTTGATGCAATCTTTGCAATAATTGGGAAGGTTGGAAATTCTTGTTTGTATTGATTTTTCCAGTAAAGTCTTCAGTTGAGTGACTTTATTCAACCAGTCTTTATTCTTGAGAAGCACAGAAAAATTATTCCCTGTTTTTACGTCCTCCAGTGTCTTGTAAAGAGAAATACACTGAGAAGTGGGTTCTTGAAACTCTAGTATTTTGGTGATATTTTCCCTGTTCTTGACCACTATTTTTTTATCTAAAAACGTTTCTAGTTCCTCCAATTTGCTCTGAAAGTTGGGGCTGTCGTACTGGAATGCGCCGATCGACAGTAAATCAGTTCTCAAGTTCCAGCAAAAGATTCCGATGCTTGGCAGTTCGATGAACGTGCAGTCATGGATTTTTCGACTGACGCTGCTCAAAACAATCAAATCACCCTTTTTACCAAGTAGCAAACTCTTTCTACCAAAAAGATCTCTACCAAAATATAGTTCCTCCTCGTTTTTGTCAAAATACACATGCCCATGTTTGTCATCCATAAAACCTGGATACTGCGTCCCACGTTTTTCAGATCAGTCTGCAGCAAACATCTACCAAAATGATGTCTTTGAATACAACGGCTTAAAAAATGAGAAAGGCGCGTTTATTTTTTCGGCTCCTTGGAATAAAGAAGAAGAAAAACTGGTGACGTTTCACTTTCTTTGACACTTTGACAGTGACGTGCCTATGTGGAGTTTGATATGTGTACAGCAGAAAAATGATCCTCAGCTAACATATTAAGCCTCAGTAGTTAGTGTCTTCAAAGTTTATGACTCCTGTTTCGCTGCGCCTAAAGGTATGATGAAAGATCTCGTCAAGAATCTAATCTAACCGAATAATTCTTTACTAGAAGACCAACTATCCTACATACTTTTCAACTTGATTATCACTGAAAATGGCTACATACGAAGAGTATATCCAGCAAAACGAAGACAGAGACGGGATACGGTTCACATGGAACGTCTGGCCGTCCAGCAGAATAGAAGCCACCCGTTTGGTGGTGCCCTTGGCCTGTCTTTACCAACCCCTGAAAGAACGTCCCGATCTTCCACCAATTCAGTACGATCCAGTGCTGTGCACTAGAAACAATTGTCGTGCAATACTGAACCCACTCTGCCAAGTAGATTATCGTGCCAAGCTTTGGGTGTGCAACTTCTGCTTTCAGCGGAACCCGGTAAGTTTTCAACTGTAATAAGTGACAATTCAAGATATAATATATACTTTTTTCTTTAAGTGAAGCATTTGAATGCGTTTTCAATACTTAAAGCTGTTGTATATACACAGGATGTGACAACATTTTTCCCAAAACATATTTTGTAGCTCATAATATCAAATGTTTTGATTATTTTGTCATTTCTTGATTGGGACTGAGTTTTTAATGAACTTATTAGGTGAAATATCTCTAACTCAATCAGTACAAAAACACAGTAACTTAAAATAACCTCTAATAGCACCCAACATCAAAATAAATAACATGGCTATTATCGTTTTACAGTTTCCCCCTCAATATGCCGCCATTTCCGAGCAACACCAACCAGCTGAGCTTATGCCAATGTTTTCCACCATAGAGTACACTATTACAAGAGCACAGTGTTTACCCCCGATATATCTCTATGTTGTCGACACTTGCATGGATGAGGAAGAATTGGGTTCACTCAAGGACTCCTTGCAAATGTCTTTGAGCTTGTTGCCCCCGAACGCCTTGATAGGATTGATTACCTTCGGGAAGATGGTCCAAGTGCACGAACTAGGTAATAATGTGACTTCTGGGATTCTTCAGAAGCCCATTTTGATCATCTAATTACAGGTACCGAGGGTTGCAGCNTTATTTAGGAGCCCATCTTGATTATCTAATTACAGGTACCGAGGGTTGCAGCAAATCTTACGTTTTCCGAGGTACGAAAGACCTCACAGCTAAGCAAGTTCAAGAGATGTTGGGAGTGGGCAGAGCCGCAGTAAGTGCTCAACCTGCTCCTCAACAACCAGGACAACCCATGAGGCCTGGAGCACTCCAGCAAGCTCCTACGCCACCAGGAAGCAGGTGAGATTCAATTATGCTTTTCATCGGTACTATGTTTATATATTTTCGTAACTCTCTAATTTGACTTCAAATGTGTCCTAAAATCCTTTTAGGTTCCTTCAACCCATCTCGAAATGCGACATGAACCTCACTGATCTTATTGGAGAGTTGCAAAGAGACCCATGGCCTGTCCACCAAGGCAAACGCGCCCTCAGATCGACCGGGACAGCTTTATCGATAGCCATTGGCTTGTTGGAATGCACATACGCCAATACTGGTGCCAGGGTCATGCTATTCGTTGGAGGACCTTGCTCTCAAGGCCCTGGTCAAGTCTTGAATGATGATCTGAAGCAACCTATCAGGTGAGAAGTGAAATTGATTATATGATAAGGGTGGGACCTAGTATAAAACCTTGAGAAACACCATACCTGTGGCTCTCTTTATTGAAATAAGTAGAAGTGGTGAAGCCATAGTGGTGAGTTATGATTGATTTCAGATCTCACCACGACATCCAAAAAGACAATGCCAAATACATGAAGAAAGCAATCAAGCACTATGATAATTTAGCGATGAGGGCAGCAACGAATGGCCATTGCGTCGACATATATTCATGCGCTTTGGATCAGACAGGATTGATGGAGATGAAACAGTGTTGCAATTCAACAGGGTAAGTATATGCTGTTTTTTTTTTATTTTGCTAGTAATAGGCCTTTCATTAATGCTTGTCTCATTGTTGCTGTGCTCTTCTCTTCTTCTCCTTGTCGTTCTTCTTCTCCTTGTCGTTCTTCTTCTCCTTGTCGTTCTTCTTCTCCTTGTCGTTCTTCTTCTCCTTGTCGTTCTTCTTCTCCTTGCCGTTCTTCTTCTCCTTGCCGTTCTTCTTCTCCTTGCCGTTCTTCTTCTCCTTGTCGTTCTTCTTCTCATTGTCGTTCTTCTTCTCATTGTCGTTCTTCTTCTCACTGTCGTTATTCTTCTCACTATCGTTCTTCTCACTGTCGTTCTTCTTCTCATTATTCTTTTCTAGTAGAGGATCTAATATAGAGAAACTAGCCATCCATAAAATTGATTTCTTAGGTAGCACTGTAATGGATATTTTTAAATGTATTATTTTTCAGGGGACATATGGTCATGGGCGACTCGTTTAATTCTTCCCTGTTCAAGCAAACGTTCCAGCGTATATTTTCGAAAGATCAGAAAAACGAGCTGAAGATGGCATTTAATGGTACTCTGGAGGTCAAGTGTTCCAGGGAGTTGAAAAGTGAGCTAGTTTTGCTGATAATTTACTTCTACAGATTCATTATTTCAGAACTTTTTTGTTTGTTGTGTAAATTTTATAAACTCAAAAATAACAAAATTGATAAAATAAGGACTGGGGCTCGCAGAACAAAGATTGGATTTTTGTTTTCAGTTCAAGGCGGTATTGGATCTTGTGTTTCGTTGAATGTGAAGAATCCTTTGGTTTCCGACACCGAAATAGGAATGGGTAACACGGTTCAGTGGAAAATGTGTACGGTAACTCCAAGTACTACCATGGCCTTGTTCTTCGAGGTCGTCAACCAACATTCCGCTCCCATACCTCAAGGGGGAAGGGGCTGCATACAGTTCATCACGCAATATCAGGTATGTACAGGATTTTCTGTAAAAAAAAACTGATGATTATAATGATGTTGTATCACGAAATATTTAAGATACAAAATGTAGTCTTGGGTAAAGTTGTTGAAAGAAATTGCCATTTTTGGGGCTAGATCGGCGGGCTAGATCGGCTACACTGTCTCTTTTCTAGCATGCTAGTGGTCAGAAGAGGATCCGAGTAACGACAGTTGCTAGAAACTGGGCCGATGCTTCTGCTAATATACATCATGTCAGTGCTGGATTCGATCAAGAGGCAGCCGCAGTGATAATGGCGAGGATGGCAGTTTACAGAGCCGAATCGGACGATAGCCCTGATGTCTTAAGATGGGTCGATAGAATGTTGATACGTCTGGTGAGTTTCCATTTAAATTGCCAAAAGAGTGGGTATTTATGTTGAAAGATTCACAAACGTAACTCACAAAACTGACAGCGACAATTTCCATCATGTTTTACTTTTCAGTGCCAGAAATTCGGCGAATATAACAAGGACGACCCGAATTCGTTCCGCTTGGGCGAAAACTTCAGCCTCTACCCGCAGTTCATGTACCATTTGAGAAGGTCACAGTTCCTACAGGTGTTCAACAATTCTCCCGACGAAACGTCCTTCTACAGGCACATGCTTATGCGTGAAGACCTCACGCAGTCGCTGATCATGATCCAGCCGATACTCTACAGCTACAGTTTCAATGGACCACCGGAACCTGTGCTTTTGGATACGAGTTCCATCCAGCCCGACAAAATTCTGCTCATGGACACGTTCTTCCAGATTCTGATATTCCATGGCGAGGTGAGTTTTTAGTTTAAAAGGGTAACACAAAATGGGACCTTGAGGTATACTTTAAATCTTTTTTCACAGCATAAGGTTCAAAGTTTCTGAAAATTAATAGTATTTGAACTGCATCATCCTGTACATGTCGGGATTTTTTTGATTATCCAAGACATTTTGAAGGTAGAGTGGGATAAAGAGAGGCGGCAAACTTAACACATGTAGAAAGAGGTTGTCACTTTGACATTTTTCGTGTTCTTTCAGACAATAGCCCAATGGCGTAACCTCAAATATCAGGACATGCCTGAATACGAGAACTTTAGACAGCTGCTGCAAGCCCCAGTGGACGATGCCCAGGAAATTCTTCAAACCAGGTTTCCTATGCCGCGTTACATCGATACGGAACAAGGAGGATCACAGGCTAGATTCTTGCTCTCGAAAGTCAACCCGAGTCAGACTCACAACAATATGTACGCCTACGGAGGGGTGAGTAGAATTTGTTTTTTCTGCATTTGTTGTTTCTGAGGTATTTGGAAACTGCACAAGATATCTAATGGGAAAACTCTGACAAAGGAGATGGAAGATCACAGAAGTATAAAGGGATTTATCAATAAAGAAGATAGTAAGAGGGGAAAGAGTAAAAAGAATGGGGAATGGGGAGAAGAGAAGTTGATGAAAGGAGAAGGGAGAAAGGCAAGAGAAAATGAGGGGTGAGAGAAAAGATGAAAATTTTTGAAATAATGATACTATATCTTGAAAACAAGAGCTAATATATAATTTTTATGGTCACTTTCGGTTTTAACACGTGGAAATACATTAAAATCATCTAATTTCAACCCCGAAACAAAAACTTTGTTGTGTTGTGTTATCAGCAAAGAATCTTAAATGTTTTTTACTCACCTGATGTTTTTATTTTTTCATATGTGTTGCGGATAGGCCATTATGGGAGGTTCCAGTGGGGTAATTTTGTTATTATTGATTATTAGGGAGCTTTGTAGAAAATATAACGAGGGGATAAGGTTTGGCTGGGATTCTATATTTATAACTTTCTCTGCCACGTTTACTAACCTGATAACAACCTAATCTATCAACTGTTTTGATTCTGGTTTGCAGACTTTGGAGGGTGTGGAGTAGAACTATTGGGCTAGTTGGATTTTTTTACTTGATTCTATTTCCTTTCAATTGCAATTCAAGGAGCTTTGTGCACGTTTCTTCAAAAAATACTTCAGTTTGAGTAATTTTTGAGAAAAATGGTTCACTCAGTTGACATCCACGATAAAAAAATGTTACTTACACAAATACCTATGAAAACTTGGCACAATTCACCTTAAAGAAGCTGTTGAATCAGTTTTGTCGATTTCGGGAGTAAATTTTTGAATTTTCTCATCATATAGTTGGATCTCATATAGAATGTTCACTGATGCCTAAACATTTGATGTAATCAACGAATTTTATTCAGAGGGGCATCAAATTCTGCAAGGTGGTGGTTTTCTATGAAGATATTTTCAAATTATTTGTTAATAAATTATAACCCAACCAAATTTTAATTTTTTCAATATCTCCACCAAGTTAGAAGTTTACTCCTTGAATATGATTAGAGTATCATCTGCAAAGTAGTGAATTCCACCCTAACTTTCAATATTCAAAAAGTCGTTAATGAATGTATAGAATATTAGTGGACCTAATACCGTGCCCTGTGTCACTATGTCAGACAACTAACTTTCTTTCAATTTATTTCTATTGTACATTATCAAATGCTTTAGCAGGGTCAAGAAATATGCAAATGGTTTCTGTATCAATCTGAAGCCTTTTAAAAGCAACATTCTTCCGCCTCGTAAGACTATCAATGAATGTTTTAACCCTCATACTTTTTTTTCGCTAGGACGGAGGTGCTCCAGTTCTCACTGATGATGTATCGTTACAAGTATTCATGGATCACCTGAAAAAACTGGCAGTGTCCTCTACGGCTTAGTTGACCACGACGGTTCGAACACTGCAAAGACATAACACAAACCTAATGGAGGGGATCGATCAGAAACGTCTCCTGTATAAACAAACGGTTGGGATGTTTTAACAGAGAGTCAGTAAATTATCATTTGTGGAACACAAAATTTTCAAAAAAACATTTCAACACTTTCCGCTTTTAACTGGCAAACCCTTCAAAAGTTATTTTGTTCCATTAAGTTGTCTCCGATTAAGCAGTATGTCGATTCTGTTGAAATATCTCTGACTGAAATGGAGATGTTTTACTGTAAGGTATCAAATCAAAACTATTTTGTGTTTTTTTTTCAAATGTATTTATTTTTAATTCACAAATACATGATATTACTCAACTGTGGTTTTTCTACATTCTCTTTCAATTTGTGATCACTTAGATGGGTTGGCAGAAGAAAGCCAGTGCCATCTTTTCAACTGTTATGAACCATTTGAACCAAGTAAATCCTCTAATAAAACGAAATTTTTAGATTTGTCTATCTCGAAATTATTTCCAATTCGATGACAGTTTTATTCAAGCAACAAACGACTAAAAATGGGAAACCTGTCGAGTTCTATGTTGGCAGAAATTTTCATGGATAATCTAGAGAATGAAATCCACAATAATTTTCTTGTACTGGTACTAATACGCAGATGACATCTTAGTCTGTTTTACTGGTACAGCTAGGCTAGTGTGTCGGGTATGTCAGTTCCATTCACCAATCAATAAAATGGAGCTGAATAATTAAATACATTATCTTGACATCCCTATCTGCATAAAATAGCACCATTCCATAGACTATTGAAAATTTCACTGTTGGGAAGTAATTTTCAGAGAGAACAGAGTTTCTTTGAACAAATTGCTGTCAATAACGGTTACAAGGTAGATATTATCGATGCCATTTCTCCTAAAAACTAAGAAAGCAAGCCATGGATAAGGAGTAGGTATATAAGTTGACTTGTGCTTCTTGCCCAAAACTTTATATTGGCCAAACGGGGAAAACATTTTCTCAAAGAACTCAAGAGCATAAAAGTAGTTACTTGAATGGAAAGACCAATTCCACATTTGCAAACCATCTTCTAGTAGAAGTACACGAGTTCAATTATGACTATGACGTGCTTCATTTAGAAGAGACAAGTTTGGAACTCAAATCTTTCAGAATACTCAGAAATAAATAGATTCAAGAGCTAGTCTTCTATAACAAAAAAGTGCAATTTACAGCTAGAGAATGAAACAAAGATAATAGCCCAAGTATATCTTTATTTTTATAATTCAAATTTACTGATATCAGAGTTTNTATAGGCGCTGTTGCCAATATGTGAATTAGAAACAAATCCCTTTAAAAATTAAAACCCAACATTTGAAACATCAATTTGAATACTTTTCGAAGTGAATTTGAAAAACTCATGAATTAAATTCAACTTTATTTTGCTCAAACTTGCATTTGCTGTAATAACCCAAATTGAGGAACATTCCCCATTCAAACAGTGTTTGAACAAAATGCAATAATGACAATTTCCAAAATGATTTCGTGAAGATGCATCTGTAAATCTGTACATCTAATTGTCAATTATTAAAATTATCACTTTTTCCTAATATACATTTTATATATATACAACATATATACTAACTGGTAAATCGCAAATGCATACCCATGTTCAACGAAAATTGTAGAACCGTGATTCGTATGAGAAATATATTTTGGAATAGCAATAGCGAAGGCACTTTCCTGTCTGACTTATTTTAATAATCCTCTTCATCATAGTCGTAACCATAGCCAAAATTTTGGCCGTCATCTTCCTCGAAGTTTTGCCTGTGCTGCCTTAGCAAATCAAGGACATTGGCGGGCTCCTCTGTAGGTTGATCTTCGTCTTCGAAATATTCGTCCAATTCTTCTTCAGATGCTGAAGTAGAAAAAAATGTTGGAGATTTACAAGAATTTTCGGTATTGAATCTAAATATTGAATTAAATGATATTAAAAAACGGTTCGACCCCAAATCCGATTACAAATGTAGTCAATGAGATCTTGAAAAAATAACTTCAGTTGTCATGTAAAATGATAGGCATAAGACAATTCCTCAAATGATTTGTGTAGATGAAAATCCCTCAATAATTTTTTGACAATCCAATAACTTGTTCACATGAAAATCCCTCAATAAATTCAGATGAAAACCCCACACATTATATACACGTGAAAATCATTAAACATAATCACATGAAAACCCTGTGAATATTAGTTATGCGGAAGAAAATCCCATTTCAGATCCAGATTAAAGATCATTATTACAAAATTATTGAATAAAGTTATTCAAACACTCACTAGCATTGGCCTGTTCATCCTTCTTGAGTATCTCGCTTTCATGTTCTTTCTTCAACATCTTATTTCCAACCTCGTTCTTCACTTCCATTTTGGGGGAATCCTGGAAGAAAGGTAGGCCGACATCTTTCAACTTGTTCTTGTTACCTCTGCTGGTAGTTTTTTCCAAACTAGTGGGCAGCAAAGAGAGCCTACGACTGGAAACACGACAAAATAAAAATAATTGAAAGAAACATACATATTGAAGAGAACCATTGAAAGAACAAAAATTATTATCTGAAAAAAAAAAACTCGTTTTTCTTCTCACTGCGGTTGTGTTTACATTCCTGCGGTTGGCACATAATTATTAAGATAATAATTTTATTGCACCACTGAGAGAAATATCTAATTCAAATGATTTTAACAAAAGGTTTGTTTGCTGAAATTCAATTGTGGAGAGAATGGTAAAATTTCAAGCCTGAATAGAAGGCTTTCTTGTCAAATGAAGATTAGTGATGGTGGCATAAATTGAAGTTGGTGAGGTATCTTCTGTGACTTTGAAGTTACCTGTGGAATTCCCCAGGGTTCAGTGCCGGGCCCTATCCTGTTCTTGATGTACGTGAATGATCTATCAACCATTAAATTCACTTTGTTTGCAGATGATAATACAATAGACTTACCGTTTTGTAGATTCAGATGTAACGGCTGCCGTTTGGTCTTCGACTGTTACCGTTTCATCATTAGCAGCAACAGGAGCAACCTTCAAACTTTTTAGAACGTCGTAGTTGATCTTCGACGAGATCTTTTTCTCTTGAATGATCTTCTCGATCGCCTCACCGGCGGAACTCGCTGGACAGCCCGTTTTCTTCTTCGTCGTACGTTTCCGTTTCTTCTCCGGTTTGCCTTCCTCTCGTTCTTTCTCCAGCTTTTCCGCTTTCACTGGAAAAAAAAAACACACATACACACCTGCCACAAATCGGTACAATCGAAACGAGAGAAAAAAGTTTGACTTTCTACAATCTCTAGAAAAAAAATTGTCTGATATTTATTATTTCACTTTTTCACAATTGCACCAAGTTTTTTCTCCTTCTTTTGATTGTGCTGAAATATGAGTGACCCTTAGTTTACAATAAATCTTTTCAAACTGTTTCAAAACTTATTTTTCGGATATTTTGTCCGTGGTCTGCAGGTTTTTGTGCCTAACGTTTCGTTTACATCTGCGGTAGACATTGTTGTATCATGTAAAAATGATTTGATACTTACTTCGAATCTGACGTAGAACAATTTCAAAAGATAACTTTGGCATATTTGAATCATATTTTAATGTTGAAAAAACGCTAATGATAACGATGATTAGATAAGAAATAACGACAGTAAAACTGAGAAATGGGTTCAATACTGAAAAGAGCTTGTAAGCATGGAAAAAAATCAGAACATGCATCAACTCATTTACAAGAACAAGTTTACGTAAACACTCCAGTTACTTAAAAACTTCAGGACGTCAGGAACACCAAATTGAACAAACTCTTGCTAAATGATTATGACCCTTTGAATAACAATCATTACGATAGAAAATCTTGAAGACAAATATGAGATGTACAGAAAAAAATCTGAAAAAGATTTCACATCTCAAAATTTCGACTTTAAACAAAAAAATCAGTTTAATGTAAAAACTTCGAATTCAAAGCCAAAATTATGACTTTAATCACCAAATTTTAAGTTCAAAGTCGAAATTTCGATTTTAAAGTTGAAATTTCGAGAATAAATTCTAAATGTTCCAGAATAAATTTGAAAATAAACTTGAAATTTCGAGTTTGCAGTCGAAAATTCGATTTTAAAGTCGAAACTACCAATTAGAACCAAAATTTCAAAAAATAATGTCAAAATTTCGAGAATAAATTCGAAATGTTCCAAAATACATTTGAAAATAATCATGAAATTTCGATTTTAAAGTCGAAATTTCGATTTTAGAGTAGAAAAAAAAATTTCAAAAATTCGAGAATATAGTCGAAATTTTGGGAATATAATCGAAATTTCGAGAACAAATTCGAAATATTCGAGTATAGATTTGAGATTAATATTGAAATTTCGAGTTTGAAGTTGAAATTTCAATTTTAAGTTAAAATGTAAAGAAAAAGGTCGAAATTTCGAGAATAAAGTCGAAATTTTGGAAATAAAATCGAAATTTCGAGAACAACTTAGGAATTTTCGAGAACAGATTTGAGATCAATGTTGAAATATCGAGTATGAAGTCGAAACAATTTTAAAGATGAAGTGTTGAGCAAAAGGTCGAAATTCCGAGAATAAAGTCGAAATTTTGGAAATAAAATGGAAATTTTGAAAATAAAATCGAAATTTTGAGAACAAATTCGAAATTTTCGAGAACAGATTTGGTATTAATGTTGAAATATCGATTTGAAGTCACAATTTCAATTTGAAAGTTGGAATTTCGAGAATACAGTCAAAATTTTGAGAATAATGTCGAAATTTCGAAAAAAAAATTCGAAATTTTCGAGAATAGATTTGAGATTAATGTTGAAATATTGAGTTTGAAGTCGAAATTTCAATTTTAAAGTTGAAATGTCGAGAAAAAGGTTGAAATTTCGAGAATAAAGTCAAAATTTTGGGAATAAAGTCGAAATTTTGATAACAAATTTGAAATTTCGAGAACAAATTTGAAATTTCGAGAACAAATTCGTAATTTTCGAGAATAGATTTGAGATAAATGTTGAAATACTGAATTTGAAGTCGAAATTCTAATTTTAAAGTTGAAATGTCGAGAAAAAGGTCGAAATTTCGAGAATAAAGTCGAAATTTTGAGAATAACGTCGGAATTTCTAGAAAAAAAATCGAAATTTTCGAATATAGATTTGAGATTAATGTGGAAATTTTGAGTTTGAAGTTGAAATTTTTATTCTAAAGTCGAAATGTCGAGAAAAAGGTCGAAATTTCGAGAATAAAGTCGAACGTTTTAAAATAAATTCGAATAAATTGGAAATTTCGAGAATAAAGTTGAAATTTCGAGTATGAAGCCGTAATTTTCGGGAATAAAGTCAAAATTTTTGAAAATAAAGTCGAAATTCCGAGAACGGAATGGAAACATTTTTGCAATGCCATGCTACTATACCAGAGATTTCTCATATTTCTGTCAAGGTTCTGAATTCCACGGTTTGCTACTTTTTGTTTTAGATTAGAAATGGAAACGACTTTCCAAAAATTTCACGTATCTTTTTATGAAACAAAATAAAGAGATTTGATGACAAGAAAGTAGATTCCAATACAAAATTGGTTTTTTATTGTTATTTAATATGAAATTTCATTTACTTATAGTTGAAATGCAATTTTTTTATACTTTCATGTCAATTTGCTACAATTCGAAAACATTTTAGAAATTTTTTCTTAGTGGAATTTTGGAATTCTCCTGGCAAACTTAAACAAATTAAAGAAGATACCATTATTAACCTTAACCTGTCAGAGTTGGCAGTAAAAAAATTCTCAACTGAATAACTTACTCTTCTGTAGTTCCAAATAACCTCCATTTAAAGTGAACCAAGTCTTCTTTTTCCTCTCGTATTCTGCGTCCGACATGATGTAAGTATCGATTTCAGCATCATCGATATCTTCGAAGGACAAATCGATGGTCAATTCCTGAGGAGTCTGAACTGAGTTCCCCACATCTTCGAGAGAATTGACAAGCCCCATGCTGTTTATATCAGGACCTGAAACGACATTTGCTACTGTAGCTATATAATATTCAGAAAATTTTTAGTTGAGAGTTTCCTCATCGATTGAGTTAAATTCAGTTCTTTTGTTTTATCGGTTGGTAAGGGCCCGAAAAGTGAACTTTGTGGAACTTCCGATTCACCATTGAATTTTCATATTTCTAACAGACGAGTAGCATATAAAAAGTTCTTGTTGGTATAAAAATTAATTGAAAACGTCCTCAAGAAGTTATACCTGATACAATTATTATATTCACTAACTATTATGGTGTCTACTGTTAATTTTACTTACTGCGTTGCCAATTATATGTAAGTACAGCAAGCGCCAAACGTGATGGCGATTGATTGCGCATGTATAGACACTTCCAACTAAATTACTATTGGATTACGATAAACACCTTGCTGGCCAGTGACGTACCTATAATTAGTTTTGATCAGGTTAGCAAATGAAACATATGATTTCTTTGTATTTTCTTTTCATATTTCATTTAGTATTATAGGTAGTAGTACAGTTCATTAAAATGTTATTTAATGATACACTCTTGATGACTAGAAAACGGTTTGTGGGCATGAGAGCGGGCTTGCCATCACGTTTGGCGCTTGCTGTAGATGTCTTTCTCAAATGAGTATATTTAATGCTTCGATGTTTTGCCGCAAAACTTTACTATACATTTTTTTACAAAGAATACCGATGTCGTTTGAAGCATTTTTCAATTCTCATAGAACTTTTACGAGTCAATGATATTGTCGAATGACTACATTCTAAATGCAAAGCGGCTTCAAAGTTACCAGAAGGCTGAACAAATTTCACTTACCCAGCTCTTTTACAACTTCATCGGGATCGTCAATAACTTCCGACTGCAGCAATTCATTCACAGTTCCTAGAGTTGATTCTTTTATAAATTTATCTGTATCATCGAGTTCTTCACTGAACGGCGACTCTGAAAAATTCTCTATTGTAAAATGTATTTGGAAACAAAATTTGTTCGTCACAGCGACATCAACTGAAATGTGAATCACCCTAAAAAACTGATTGGCCGGTGATTACGACTCACCCTGCCACTTGTCATTGCCGAAAAAAGAAGAAGAGATTACAAACATAACCTAACTTGAAATTCCAATTTTTTATCTTGAATCAATTTTCAGAAAGTAAGATACTGCTTACATTCGACACAGTTATTCTATGCAAATCATTAGCTGACCAACGACAAAAACTAGTTCATCGTTATAAGCAATTTCACAATGTCAGGTACAAATCACCCTGCCGAGGCCCCGGAGCACTGTCCGGGAACAGAAAGCGAAAATGCAGGCAAAGCCTCGGCCTGCGCAGGGTGTCCCAATCAGAGCATATGCGCGGAGGGACCCAAAGCCCCTGATCCTGGGATCAAGAAAGTGAAAGACCGACTTTTGACTGTGAAGAATAAAATTTTGGTACTGTCCGGAAAGGGGGGCGTAGGGAAAAGCACGGTAACGGCTCTGCTGAGCAGAAAGCTGGCTCACGACGACGAAGAGAGAAATGTGGCTGTACTGGATATTGACGTATGCGGACCTTCTCAGCCACGACTTTTGGGAGTGATTGGGGAGCAGGTGCATGAATCAGGTTAGCGAATCGAACTAAAAAAAAAAATATTTATTGTGTTTGATGATGCACCAATACCAAGGATAGAAAAGAAAAACACAATTGCAAAATGATTATTGCATTTCACACAAAATGAGTACTTATGATTCATAGTTATCCACATAAAAACAGAACTGAATGTAGGTGTACTCCTCAATTCAGGCAATCACTTAGTAATAGCGATAAATTAAACATCACTGAATGCCTTGAAAATGCGTAGTCAAACTTTTTGATTGGTTTACTAGCAACTAGGTATGAATAGCTATAAAACTCAAACAATGCACTTCAGCGTATTGAATGATCCACCTTCCAGAAACAAAAGTTCTGCTGTGAAGTTTCTGGGTATGTATGTAGTTAAAAATAGGCTCTAGTAGAAATATCACAGTGACTTCTTAGCTAAGAAAATAACCTCTTTTATATTCCTGTTGAGAAGGTTATGAAACATGGTGTCAAAGACTGAACCTAACAGGCTATTTCTCTTTCATTCAATCCAGAATTGGATATGCCTTATTGATATGGTATCTTGCAGCATCAGCATTCAGAATATTTGGTACACAACGTTAAGCAAAAAGAATTATGGATGTCCTTGGATATAGAGCTGAGTGCAGAGAAGTTTTCGTGAACGTCAATATACTGACTCTACCTTCTTCATACATATACCAATACCCAATATGTGTCTATAAACATAGATCTTTCTTTGTCATGCACTGTAATCTGCCTGGCTATGATATTAGACATACAGATCATATTTACATTGGTTTCCATCGTTTCAGTAAAATAAAAGCAGGTGTGAATGAAATGATTTGCCAAACTCCGTTTGAGATTTCAACCTGAATAAGTTCATATTGCAATTAATAAAGTGCTTGATAAGGAAATGTTTTCAATCTTATAATGAATACTTTAATAATAATTTTAGTTACATTAAATTATGAATTTGTTTGTAAAGTTCATTTTAGCTTTTTTATTTTAGTAATTAGGTCTTATTAGTTGTGTAAACAAATTTGTATGACACCAACAAATCTATCTAATGAAACATGCTGTTAATTTTAGAGCATTGGAATACCCGAGGAAACATTCGTACCCATCTGATGTCACATTCTTTCCAAAAAACAACGAAAACAAGCCATTTACCAAGTTTATCCCACTTCAAGAAACAATAATGAGTGTCACAGGTCACTGATATATTTGGTGAACCCATCAATGACGTTGCTTGTTTTTTGCAAAAGAAAGACTCGACTTAGTTTAAAGAACAGATAATAGTTTAAACAAATTCTTGAAAAATAATAAAGATAAAACGTCAGTGTGGGATAGATCAGGAGTATATAAGGTGACTTGTGGTTTTTGCCAAAGCTTTATATTGGCCAAACAGGGAGATTTTTTTCCCAAAGAATAAAAGAACATCTTAGTTGTTTCTTGAATGGAAAGACCAATTCTATATTTGAAAATCATCTTTTGGTAAAAGGGCAATGGTTCAACCACGACCAGTATGTATTCCATTTGGAAGAGGAAAGTTTGAAATTGAATCTTATGGAATGCTTAGAAATAATTGAATCTATTTTCCAATGTGGAAATTGATAATACGAGGGTTGCCTTTTATATTTCGGGATTAGAGATTGATCATCGAAAATCACTTTATTGTTTTTCAAAATATTGCCCATGGAGATCTATACCCTTTTGCATGCGTTTGAACCAATTGTCGAAGCACTTTTGCCACTCTGATTGAGGTGTCAAAAAACGTTGACATCTCAGTTTGTTTTTCACGTGCGGGAATGAAAAAAAGTCATTAGGTGCCAAGTCAGGACTATACGGCGGATGACTCATCAAGTCGATGGTTTGGGTGCTCAAAAATGCAGTTGTTTGAGCCGATGTGTGAGAGCTTGCATTGCAAATGGTTGTGTACCACTCAGGATTGACTGTTCTGCGTTGTTCTAGTGGTACGGTTGCGACATGTCCAGTTTTTCCGAAAAAACAGGCGACCATTTGCTTGAAAGTGCTTCATGCGCCAAATTTTGTTGGATATGGCTCATCTTGAAACACCCATACAGTTGACTGCTGTTTACTTTCGGACTCATACGCGTACATCCACGAGTCATGACCTGTCACGACGTCATAGACGTGTTTCGAAGCACTGCGATCGTATTTTTTAAAAGCATTTTCTTCGACCAATCGACACGAGCCTTCTTTGAGCGATTGACAAATTATGTGGGATCCAACGCGAACACATTTTGTTGACAGTCAAATGTTTATGCAATATTGAATGTATGTTGCTAATGCCTAAGGTTGTCTCAATATCACGATAGGTCACACGACGAACTTGCAATATCAGTTGGGGTTAATTTTCGTTTTGTGGACACCCGGCGATTTTGAAAAAATTTTTGACTGTACATACGTATTTTGATGCGTAGATTACGAATCCGAAAGAAAAAAGCGGCGCTCTCCCTTATTTAAAAAGTTACGGCCCTTCAAAGTTCAGAAAAGGGCAACTTTTCAGCCTTCTTTTTCACCAAATAAACTATTCAAAAGCATTTATTCACAAAGTCATCTTTACACCTTATTCCTTCTTCTTTAACAATTTTCACTTCAATAATCAACATAATCCAGCTACTCTTTTCTCAGGTTGCGGCTGGTCGACCATCTTCGTCGAAGACAACCTCTCGGTGATGTCGCTAGGCTTCCTCCTCGGCTCCGCCGACGACGCTGTCATCTGGCGCGGTCCTCGCAAGAACGGCATGATCTGCAGGTTTCTCTCCGACGTCGACTGGGGCCGCCTCGACTTTCTCTTAATCGACACGCCGCCCGGTACCTCGGACGAACACCTCTCCGTCGTGACGTACCTTTCCGAGGCGGGAGTCACGGGCGCCGTCGTCGTGACCACCCCCCAGGAGGTGGCTCTGCTCGACGTGCGCAAGGAGATCGATTTCTGCCGGAAGGTTGGCGTGCCGGTACTCGGCGTCGTGGAGAATATGGCAGAGTTCGTGTGCCCCTCGTGCGAGAAGTCTTCGGAGATATTCCCTGCGAGAACAGGAGGAGCTAGTAAGATGTGCGAGGAGTTGGGGGTGCCGTTCTTCGGGAGTCTGCCTCTCGACCCGAGGGTGACGAGGTGCTGCGACGAGGGAAGGAATTGCGTCGTGGAGTTGGCCGACTCCCCCGCAGTGCTTGGCGTGGGGAGGATCGCGGATAAGTTGGTGAAGGCCTGCCAGAAATGAACTTTTCTTTGCAATAACACTTTTTGTTATATGTACTGTATGTTATAGATGTTTCAATAAAGATATTTTGGTCATCAAGTTTATTTATTTATAGTCACTTGCTTCCCTTAAAAATAAGTGATTCTATCAGAGCATTTCAATATCTCTTTGTTTTGCCAATGATAAGACACTACGGCGATTCATTTGAAATAAACCTTTTCGCATACGATTTTTTTTAGTTCGGCACATTTTCAAGTTTCATTTGAATATATTGTGAATGAAAATGTAACGAGCTAGGATCCTTCGCAATTGAAGAGAGCGGATGTATCGCGACCATACTCATCGGGGGAGCGGTGAGTCCATTTTGTACACGTTTTTTCGTTTATTATGATGTGCGCATCGTATACTTATATATGAATGTAGTCCGTCTAGATAAGAATAATATCGTCCACGAAATTTGAAAAAGTTTATGGCATTTAAGATATCACTTCGTGCGAGACCTCCCGAATTCCGGTGTTCATTCTCATTATCGTCATCTGAAACCCGCAAAAGTTCTGACTGAAACTTCTGATTCTAACAGTTTCAGTAGTTGTTCAATTGCTAGATATTTTCAAGTGCTCTTTTGACTATATCAAACCCAGAATGAAAATTTACGAATAAACAGAAAACAACTTGGTAACTGTTGGAGTTCAAGAGCTGCAGCATCGTTTGTGATTTTATTACATGCTGTATATTTTATGCCAATTTGAGTTAGTTAGTTACAAGTTTGTTTACACATATGATAAGACAATTGTTTTTGAGATAGTAAAAATAAAACGGTAAAAGTCCAAAAAATATCTGAGTTTTTCTATATAATTCTCCACACTCAACAGTAACTTTACCATTCATAAATTGAATAACTATTCATTGAACGATTATGACTACTGATTCTAATGGTAATGGCCAAAGTTTTCCCTGAGTTTGAGGTTCAAATTATAAAATATAGAGGTAGCTCGACTTCCTCTCCGATTGCGACAGAGGACGGTTGTACCGATAACGAGCACTCCAAAGATGACACGTGGATGTCGTGGTCGGAGTGGAGTCCAAAAGGTGTAAGCTGAAAATAAAGCGAATGAAAACACTTGAGGTGGCAGCATTGCCTCGAGTAAGACTGCTGCGCCTTCGGACGGAGCTTTTGTTCACTACGGACAGAAGACTGGGCAAATGTGCTCGAATGAGAATCAAAGGCCATAGAGATTAGAGAGAGAGAGAGAGAGAGAGAGTAGAGGTAGCTCACTCCTTGGTCCTACCGAATATTCTTCGACTTTTTTTAATGTAATGCTCAATGTTGTAGTTTTTTTAATCTCAACTTCCACAGGTTCGAGAGTCAACTTACCGTTCCTCGGTTCCAGTCTTCTTTTATGCGTGTTCTTCTCCAACTGATTCTCGATCTGTTTCTGCAGGTCAGTGAAGGTCTCATCTTCTTCTTCCATCAACTGGAACAAAACACGATAAGAATAAAGTACAGTACGAAACATTATATGGCAAATCTCACTTTCTGAAGACGTTCCTTGTCTTTTTTCCTGGCGGCTTTGAAAGACGGAGGGTCTTGCTCCTCTTCCAAGTCTACGCTCATGAATTCGTCCAGCGTCAAGGCACTGCTTGGCGTGTCGCCAAATTCTATCAGTCTAGAAAAAGAGCGGTGTTAGGTTTTCAGGTTTGCGTTAGTAGGGGATGAAGAAGTACATGAGTTTTTACCTTTTTCTCAAAGTCGTTTCGTGCACTTTTACGATTTTCACAATGTCTCCGGGCGATCTACCAAAATCGTGCAGGCGGGCTGCGATTAAAAGAGCTAAAAACAAAAAGCAGGTTCTGAAACATTTTAATATAAGCCCCAGAGTAAAAAATGGTTGTTTTTCACGATACAACACCGCGATTTCAGGTTGTGTGTTCTTGCACCCAATCATCCCACAGACTACCACGTTTGTCCTATAACTTTCTTACATTACCACCAATATCAACCCAAATCGACACTAACCTGCCCCGCAAAGTCCTGATGGCCTTCTACCGGAATGTATGGAGTCCCTTTTCATCCTCTGGACTAACCTCAAAGCAGTGTTGGCGACCTGTTGGGTTTTATCGCCGAAGTGAAGTTTGGAGGCGAATCGCATTATGTACAGACAAGGATCTGAAAAAAGAATCAGGTTTCAAAAGAGTTGACTCACAAATCAGATAAGAGAAAGGAATCATGAAGGTTGGGTATTGCTTACAAACAACTTTTTTTCCGACCTTCATCAAAGACAATTTTACTACACGCCCTTCTGAATCAAATCAGCTGTCGCTCATTTCTCTGTTGAACACCAGTTTCAAGTAAACTTAGGTATAAAGAAGAGATGAGATGTCTTGTCTATGTGGGTTTCAGGAAATATAGTGTCATGTCACTACAAGCTATACAAGAATGCCCATTGGAGAAGAGAATCACAAAGAGTCAAAAACTGAATGTCTGAGATGCTAGAAAATTAATTAGCTAGATGTTTCACGAAATGGGGAATGTTCCTCCTGACGAAAATCAAGTAGTTTTCATGAAAGAGCTCTGAAACAACGCATTTTAAACTGATCATTTCAACCTTTTTCTTTAAAAAATTATTTGAATACTTGAAAATGAGGAATGAAATGATGCATTCAACATTTAAAGGGATTCGTTTTTATTTCACCATTTGGCAACATCGATTATAGCTAATAAAGGACAATGAATCTGTTACCTGTATGAGACAAACAAATATGACATATTTCAGAGGCGTTCTGTTCTGTTTACTTATGTTCCGAGTACCGAGACATTCTGTGACATATGACATTTTGTGCACCTAACCTATCTTCCTCTATATAGATAANAGCCGCGGACAACATTTGCATGAAATCATCTTCAAACATCAAATTATATTGATCGTTCTATGGATTCCAATAAAGATATCATCAATTTTTTCCAATTTTTTGTGTAGGAATTTCAAACGCCTTGCATAATTTTTAGAAAACGTTAAGCCTATAAGTTACTTAACGTTATTTAGGAATGTTATTATCTATGACATCATTATGAATATGCAGAATGTTTATTTCGAATAAAAATATTCGAGACCCAGTTTTGTTCAATTCGTGCCATTTCGAAAACAGTCCATTTTACACATTTGAAATAATACCAGATATCGAAAACTTTCTTTAGCCTCACATGAATACTAAAGCTGCCAGATGCGGAAATAGATACGGCCATATGTTTATATATTATTAAAGTTATCGAGAACTGATTGAGTCATCATATCTCGCACACCTGAGTCTAAAGAAGCGAAATACGATTCGAATGAAGATATTTTATACGCAATATTCCTCGAACATCAGTTAAATCACTGTTCTCGAGTGAAAACTATGCAAATAATCGATGCGTCTTCATTACGACATGCAAATCAAATTGCATCGCCATTGCGAGGTCATCAAAACATAATAGAAAACAAATTGCGGCTCATAGTCCAGTCATCCACGGTTCGAAAACGGCTTTATTGGGAAAAA